CACTTTGCAAGACTAGAAGCTAAACTGAACTGAACTGAACTGAACTGAACCAAACCGCTTGGCGTGAAGCGTCAACTATAAAAACTCCCGTATGGTATTGGTCCCACCCGCATGGCGGGACACGCTAGGCGCTGATGGCCGCACGCCTGTCCCGACATGCCTCAGTCACATGCCAGGCGGCAGAAAGTGACCGCTCGATGTGAGCAGGTAAGTATAAAATGGTCCCATTTAAACAATGTTAATACACATGCCTGGCATGTGGCATGCAAGTATAAAAGTGCGCTTAAGGAGGGAGCAGTGAGAGCAGTTGGAGAGTAAACACCATGCAAACTGAGCCACTGGGTGGAAGGCGAGACCATCACAGATGTCACAAGCACAGCCCTCAGAAAAGAAGAAATGGTGGCATGCCTGTACGCTATTCAGGATGAATAGCCTTAAGGAGGGGGCAATGTGGTGTATAAACCCATTGCTAGACAAAGACCTTAAAACAATGACACAACAGCTGTTGCTAAGCAACAGTATGGTAAACAAGCCTTTATGACAATAGAGTTACAGGTGAAAAAGTGTTTTCTACTCGGTCTGTGCAAAGGGGTTATAAGGAAGACAATTAGGGAAACTCAGTCAGTTGAGGGCTGAATTCTGCATGGGAGGCTGTGAAGATTGAACCTGAGTGCAGGAGGCTGGAGAATCTCCACTGTTAGAAGCCACTGCTAGGGAACAGCTCTTGAAGACATAGCAGACTGTAAAAAGGCTTAGCAGGTGTTGTGGTGCTTTGTAAAGTATGAAGCTATAGTGCTGTTTTTACTTGTAGTTCTGAACAGTGTGTATAAGTGGTCAATAAATCCATTCACCAATCAATAACCTGTCTATAGTCATGAGAATATACATTTCATATCATCCATACATGAAAACATCACCTGCCAAAAAGAAGAACTTCATCACAACTATTTATTAAAATGTTGACAAACATGATCATGACACAAAATACTAGTACCTAAAACATGAGAACATCTTGTCGCTGAATGTCCTAAGCAACTCTACTATTATTATATTGCCATTAACAGTAGACGAAGACAACTGTTACAATTTGCCTGCAACATGCAAATTTCTATGTTTTTTCATATCCTGCTTCTGTGCGAAGCAGCGACCACATATATCACAGGCATGTGGTTTTTCACCTGTATGAATTCGGATATGAATTTTAAGTCCATTTGATCGACGAAATGCTTTTCCACAATATTCACAAGGGTATGGTTTCTTGCCTTGGTGGATCCACATGTGTTGATAATAAGAATGACTAGTTCTAAATGCTTTTGCACATACACTGCATTTGAATGGGCGTTCGCCAGTGTGTTTGCGAAGATGTGCATCACGCACATCCTTGAGTCTGAAACGATCACCACATACTTCACACTGGTATGGTTTTTCACCCGTGTGTAGACGAAGATGAGAGTACAGGTGGGCACTCTGAACAAACCGTTTACCACATACATCACAGCCAAATGGTTTCTCTCCTGTATGTGTACGACGATGCAACACTAAGGAACGTTTCTGAGAAAATCTTTTTTCACAGAACTCACAACCAAATGGCAACTCTCCAGTATGATTCCTACAATGTGCTACTAAAGTCACCCGATATGCAAATGACTTTCCACAGTCCTCACATTTAAATGGTTTTGTGTTATGTGGAGTTACATCATCCTCAAAGGATTTAACTGAAGGATGTGAATCCTTCCTATGTTCAACAAGTTTGGCATATGTAGGGAAGATACTATCAATGCACAACTTGCAGTTATACATTCTGGGCTGCTTGTACTCATCCACATGAGCCATAACATGTTGCTTAAACAAAGTTTTCCGGGCAAAACAACGGCCACATTTGTCACACTGAAAAGGTTTCACATCCATGTGAGTGACTCGATGGCCCTTAAGTGTTGCATTGTCATAGAATTTCCCTCCACAAATATTGCAAACAAAGGGACGTTCACCAGTATGTACACGCTGATGGGCAACAAGACGAGCCTTCAGCTGGAATGACTTCCCACACTGTTCACACCGATGTGCTTTCTCACCCATGTGCACCAAACGCACATGATCAAAAAGGTTGTTTTCTCGGCTGAATTCCTTGCCACAGTGCTCACACACCACAGGACTGCCACCTTCATGGATCTGCTGATGAAATTCAAGTCTGGCCTCAGTACGGAAAAATTTACCACATTCTAAACACTTGAAAGGTCGTGTTGCACTGAAACAGTTATGGCCAGCCAAAGTTTTGGAATTGTTGAACCTTCTCCCACACGTGGCACATACCAGGCGCTTTGAGCCTTTAGGTCGTAATCGCCTTTCTTCTGCCTTGTGCTCCTCACAGTGACTTACTAGGCACAATTCACTTGTGAAACACAATTCACATAGGCTACAAGGATAAAGATCTGACTCCATGTGACACTTGGCATGATCCAGACAGAGCTCTATGTTCGCAAATGTCTCTCCACAAAGACGACAGCTGGGAAACTCTACTTTTGGGTACAGTAAGTTTACAGTGCCATCTACCATATTATATAGTTTATCGTCCCCTACAATTTTGCTGTCTTCTTGAGATATACTTCTCAAATTAACACTTTCCACTGGACCATCATCACCCCATACAGTATTACTATCCTCACTGGTTTCAGCAAGTAAATTATTCTGCATCACTACTTCATGACCATCATGAAATTCTTCTGAGTGATGCACATTATTCTTCTTATATATTTTTGCTCCAATTTCCTTTAATAATGCCAAATCATAATTTTCACTGCCTTCGGGTGCATCACTTCTAATGGACATATTGCCATCACAGCAAAGAGGACAGAAATAAGCACGGTTTCCTCCACAGATTTCTTCTATATTGTTAGATTCCTGGACACCATTAATGGTTGAACCCTGTTTTGTTCCTGTACAATATGTCACACTTCCATTGATAAAACTGCTTTCTATACCAGCATTTTCAGGCTCATGTTCAGATTTGATGGCAATAATAGCAACATTTGCTTTATTGTCTTCCATATCATATACAGCATGTGACCTAAAACAGGAAATAACACCATTGCAGGAGCATTTGTCTTAGCATAAGAAGTGACTAGTAAAAGTATCTATTTTTCAATACAAATGCTCCCCAGTTACATACAAACAAAGGATGATTACAAATTACATTCTTGCACAGTGCCCTAAGAATTCTGGATTTTATTCTTCAGCTGCCACAAAGACACTACATTAAAAATGCATGTAATTCATGATATATAAAAAAGGTAAAGTTGTCCTTGTGCTTAATTAATTAACACAACATGAAGACATGTGGGAAAACAGAACACACCATTGTTGACCTTGGCCCTAGGTGGAGGTGAGTGGTCAGCTTCATGCTCTGGTCACTTTACCCCATGGGAAAAGAGCCCCTGGTACCCATTGGACAGGTGGCTGGGTTGGACCCAAAGCTGGTCTGGATGCTGTAGAGTACAGAAAAATATCTTGCCCCTGCCAGGAATTGAACCCTGGCCGTCCAGCCTGTAGCCTGTCACTGTACCAACTGAGCTATCCCAGCTCCTAAGACATTATATGTATATACACTATTATAAACTTCAAACCATAAACTTCATAATTTGTAAAAAATTATTATTATGAATATAAAATATAAAGACAATTATGACAAGTGGATGAAAGTGGGTATCAGCCACAGAAAACATGTTACTAGTTTCAGTTAAGAAACCCAACAAGGGAGAATTTTACTGCTTCTGATGAGGTTCCTGTATTTCAGTTTATCCAAATAATTTAACTGGTATGTGTATTAGCGCACATGCAAATATGCACAAATGCACACACACACGTGCATGCACTCTCTCTCTTTCACACATATTTGTATTGATACTTCACAGAAAAATGAACTCAACCAGAGCTCCTGTGTTCCATTTATATACATAATTATAACCTTACTTTTTCATATGCAACAAAAACTAAATTTACATACATGCATGCAGGAACACACATATTTGACATATTACTGAGCTAAGTAACTTGATCTAATGCCAACATAGCAATTAACATTTTATAAATACTCTATTCATTGTGCACATGTTTTAGAAAGATTTACAAATTCTTGAATCTTGTATGATTTGACGTTTTCACAGCGGTGATTATGAACAGTGCTGTCTTCTGGGAAGGTGGTTTCTGAATACTGTCCTTAGTGCTCTTCTTCAGAGTTTAAGTCTGAACCACACTCATATAAATTTCAGAGTCATTTTAAACTCAACCTACCAGGTTACATTTAGGTAACAATAAATTACAATTTTTGGGCAGCAGTGACTATGGTTATTCCTAACACAACTGTGTCTCATAACCGGAATCTATTTCTGTGTAGGCACAGCCATCCAAATAGGTCATGGCAATGGGCTATTTTTAAATCTTAGCATGTCTTTGTAGGATATAAATGACACCCAGTCTTGCTTTGTTGTAAAAAATATTTTACCAAGCCATTCATTTTTTAGGAATGTGAAAAATCTGTTTTATGGGAGTACAAATCTTATGAAGTTGTTGAAGCTTACTACTTCACTAATACATCAAGATATTTAATTTTGGAGACATTACTTGCCCATCTATATTAACACCTGGCATGACCATGTTAATTTTGAAAAATTTAAATTCAGAAATGTTAACTGAGATAATTCCACCTACAAATTTCCAAATAGAAAATCTCAACTTTTTCTTTTTTGATTTATTTTTATTATCGCAGTTTATAGATTTCTTGCATTTTTTGCAGCATGCTGAGATCACATTACGATGAGGAATTTCAATTTTCAGCGTTAAAGTGACTTTTTTCTAGGCCTTTACCAAGAATAAATGGTTGTTGGCTATATTACATATAAGGAGAATATACCAGTAAAAAAGTAAAGGTATCCCTGTAAAAGGCCGTGGAGGCCCATAGGGTTGTGAGATGTTGAGGTTCCCACATTTTCTAGATAACTGGCTCATAGATGGCAGTAAGGTTGTTGGCCTTACGTGCCGGCCGCCATTTACCCCCAAGAATATTCCTGGTACTCATTCCTGTTAGGGGCTGAGTCGACCCCAGGGCCATTGTGCGGCTGGAAGGATTAGGTAAATTGAAAAAATCCACCTCATCGGGCTTGTAGCATAGTGCCTCAACCAACTACGCTACCGTGTGCCCCCTGCCTATACCAGTTTCCTGTTATTTTCATCTCCCTCCAACCATGTTGTTTAAAACAAGTGCTGAAATATAGCCAACAATCTTCTTTCATTTTGAATTACTGACTTAACATTGGTGAAAGCCTGGAAAAACATTTCAGGCCTTGAAAATACAACTCCATATCTGATGAATAAAACTGGCTCACTTCAACAGGCAACAAGATTATAACAATTACTGGTTCTTGCCATGCTGCTACAGTGACGCAAAAAATAACTCAAACTCTAATAATTAATAAGAAGTCACAGAAACAAATGAGGAACTTTTCTTCTGGAGAACAGGTGGAACCATCTAATATATAAATTTTGTTAGTTTTAAAACTTTTATATATATATATATATATTTTGGGGGGGGGGCATGTGGTAGCATAATTGCAAGCATGTAAGCAACTGAAAATATTACTAACATGACTAATATAATAGCTTGGAATGTCATGTGTTCCCTTCTCCCTTCAAGCATCATGTTATGTATATTCTAACTGTGCCTTTGTTCATAAATCGCTAGCGTAAGCCTGAAGGAACTGGCTAACAACATCTGTGGTGGGCTCACTGTTGGTGGCAGAAGATGCACTACCTGATCGCTTCTCCTGCCAGTATAACACAGTACCACTGAGCCACAAAAGTAACATTTTTCATTTAATTATTCAAAGTGTCAGCTGGGCTAGCATGGCTAATATGACAGCTGTGCCAGTGGGAATAACAATGGGTCAATACTAAATCTGTGTATGTTTAAATGTCCACACACCTGAAATGCTTCCTTTCATTCAATTCAAGGAGTTTATTTTCTGCCTGAATGCAAGATTCTGCAAATTCATGACACATGTTTAACTTGTTGATGCAAGGTGCACACAGCTGTTTTGGCAGAGGATCTGTACATTTAACCTGTGAATCAGATTAATACAGGAAGATTATGGTCCTGCAACATCATACCAGTAGTAAAATCTGATGTCACAGAGATGAGACAGTACACTGTTGACACAAATACAACTTCTGTGAAAAAGAATCATCCAGGAATGTCAAAGGTGATAATGAATATTGTTACCATCATTTTAACTTTTGAAACCATTTTACTGAAGAACATAACTTACTTTATTATCTCTAATTCATACCTTATTCTTATATTCATTCAAACATTTACCAAATAATAGTACTGGCTGCTTGTATTATCTCAAAATGCAATATGGGGGGAGACCTCTGTGGTTTTAGTCTATAAGTGAACTATACCGACTGGGAATGGGGACCACTCAGCCTTGTGAGGATAACTGAGGAGCTCCAGTCTAGAAAACCGAAATTAATGGCTGTGGGGATTCATTGCGCTGACCACACGACATCCTCTATCAGCTAAAGTTGGCACTAACTTCGCCGACGAGAGGCGGTCACTCGATATGATGAACTACAGTGTTAACATTTTATAGTAAAACTAAATTATAAAGATCACTTACCGTCACAGGTAAACACATATTAATTTTCTCAGCAATGTGCTGTTTTTTCCCAGTACCACTAAAAATGTAAACCACTTCATTAACAGCAGATGCGCAGAGTCTGCAGAGTTGGCCCGGATGTTCTGATACCAATTCTTCATCCACGTCTCCAAGGTCACTGTCATAATCAAGTTCAACATGTGGCTTTGCTCCTTGCTCCTGTTTGATGACTATTTCACAGTTCTCTATTAAAAAATTCATATACTGTACTATGCTGAAGAAAGATGAGAATAAAGAACAGAGCAGTGGCCATATTGAGAGATGACACTACTTTGTTCTTTTAATAATAACTTGGAATTGGTTTTATTTTCTTACAGACTACATGATTTTATTACTAATATGATTGTAGTTGAATTAATGTTGCTGGATTAAGTGGATGGGAAACAACTAACAGTTCTTCACTGTGTAAAAGTGGGTTTACCTTACATTTTCCATTCTCAGTAGACAAACTGATACAGCAGAGACAGTGTTCAAAATGTTTTATATGATAGCCAGACGCACAGTGAGTTTAAAACAGTCAATAAAGAGTCCCATCTTTCAGGAAATAATGGTGCGCAGTCCGCTGAAAATCTAAGGATGTTTCAGAGGAACCTGTCACCTCCATCTCCATCAGCAGAGCTCTGCTTGTTACCTGCTTCATGCTGGTTTCTTGGGTTATTCTTTGCCCCTGAAGATAAAGGCAAAATGTTCCTCCAAAATGTGGGTTGACTTTCAACAGACTGTAAGGTGTTATATCCAAGAAGATATGACTCTTCATAACCATGCTGTGAGAACCTAAAATCCTACATAAGAACCATCATGTTTCATACGTGCATGCAAATGAAGTCACAGTAACATCAATGGATCTAAAACCCTCTGAGACACCTATTAGCCTCTCTCTTGTACTGGATATCATTTTGCAGTTACACTCTTGTCAAACTTAATGCTGTTTAATAACTGATATGGAAGAAAATGTTTTATCATGTTGAAGAAAGTTCTTCTCACTGCAGAAACAAATGTTATTCTTAAAGCGGTATCTTCTGTGAAGAGAAAAAGAAAAAAAAAAACAGGCACACAAAATAAAACCATCATACACAAGACCCAACTTAAGCATGAACTGGCAAATGAGCTTATCCGAACAATGTTTTCTTAATGTAGAAGCATGGGGGAGACTTTGCCTAAACCGTGAAAATGAATACAGTGCTCTGACCCCTTTCAACTGGTCATACAACAGTATATGACAGTTACTACCTTGATAAAGAACATAATACATAAAAAATTATTAAAGATTACAACTTTTATTTGTGATGTTTCTAAATTTAGCCAATACTTACGAAGCTTTAATTGCTTAGATGTACAATGCTAACCCATTCTCCTGCATATTTAAAATTAAAGCTTTTTGATAGGATTCAGTATTATCAAATTCCATCTGGGCACATGCACGTGCATGTCGTGTGTGTTGTGATAAAGCATTAGTTTGTTACACATTAAACTGTGTCTAGAACATATCTGTCAGTACGTAAGTATGTCCTGAGCAGGCAGCCTTATGAAAGAGAAGTCCTGTGTCTTCAATGAGATCTCCAGTATGGTGATTCTGGTTCACACCATACATGTATGCTGCTCCCGTTAACTTTCTAATAATGTAATGACCTATGTCACTCTCTGGCGATGACACCCCGAAATATGTTTTAGACACAATTATTTTTTATTGCAAGTGGGGTGGGACTAAGTCCCTTGTACTGCGGCCACTTCTGGCCTATTGTACCAGCCACAGATGATAGGTGAGGGTGATTGTGGAGCAATTGGTGGAATGAAGATTGGCAGGGGAAACCGAAGTACTCAGAGAAAACCTGCCCCAGGGCCACTTTGTCCACCACAAATCCCACTTGACCAGACCTGGGATTGAACCCGGGCCACCGCGGTTGGAAGCCAGCGACTAACCACTTAAGCTATGGTGCGGCCCACTAGACACAATTAAGTATATCATATTATTGGTCTTATTGCTCCAAATGGCAGAAAGTTGTTTTCAAAGCCGCGAACATGATATCACAACTGACACAGTTTCTGGTACTAGACTTTCGTATTTTCAGTAAACTATTTCCCTCTGACCTTGGGCATGAATAATTATTTCTATGCTTGCTTCCATAGTTTACATGGTGGTAGTAAAAGTGTGACTTAGCAGCATTTAGTAAAAGGGTATTGATCATTCTATAATACTTTCTTAACATGTGCTGTAAATCAAACACGAGAGACAGTTACACAGGTATACCTAACTCCATGGAGCTGAGCTCTTCTAGAGAAGCTGGCAGTTGCTCACTTACTTAACAGTTTCCCAACATTTTACGGAACCATGTTCACAAGAACCCTCCTCTGGTCCCTATTCTCAGCCACATCAATCCAGTCCGTATCAACCCATCCCATCTCTTTAACATCCATTTTAATATTATCCACCACCTATGTCTTGGTGTTCCTAGTGCTCGCTTTCTTTCTGGCTTTCACACCAATATCATCTCCTACGTTTGCGTTATGTGCCCCGCCTGTCACATCCTCATTGACTTGATCATTCTAATTATACTTGGAAAAAAGTACAAGTTATGAAGCTCCTCAATGTGCAATTTTCTCCAATCTCCTGTCATTTCATCCCTGTTCGGTACACCTACCTTCTACAATGATTTGATCACCATCCATTATTTCCACTGGAACATTCGGACTGCTGAAGTCAAGCAAAGTTGGAATAGCTCCTTTCTTCAGTCTTTGTTTAGAATTATCAGCAAACTGACTGGCTATGAAATGATCAGAACATACAACATTATGCTGACTCACTAAGGCACATGGCTTATCCAGTAGATCAAGACGTCTACAAACCAACAGCCAATGCCGGCACCTTCAAACAGAAAGAAAAATTGTATTAATTTTCTAAATGTTATGTTCAAAGACTCTTATACAGCTGGAATCTAACTAACCTGTCTTCAGAAACTGGAAAATGGAAGAAGTATTTATCAGGACACGAAGATTTACTGTTATGGCACCCAGGCACGGCACATGCCAGTGACTGAACATTATCAGCGACTTCTTGTTTTGGCCCACTTTCTTCACCAGCACCAATATCTGTAGAAAACAAAATGCTTTGTGAAGTACATCACTGTCCTGTCTTCTGCTCTAGTATCAAAGCGATGTAACAAATTTTCTTGAATCTTGCAGCTAAAAACATTCATATTCCAGACAGGTAACCCTTAAATTTAAACCTTATGACTTAAAAAATATGTGTACATTCTTTGAGGTTAAAAGACAGATTGCCAAGTACTTTTTTTAGGTCTAATCTTCTTTGATTGTGTTTCACCCATTAAAAGTGAGTAAGGTTAAGAATACTATGTAATTCAATATTAAAAGAAGTATATACAGTGCAATAAGGTGTACTTTTCCTTTCACATGAACAACAGAAATGAGAAAGTTCATGCCCTGCATATTATTCTCTTTTACCTGTTTATATTAATGTACTATATTCAAATTCTTGAAAAACTTCAGACTTGTTACTATTTATTTATTGCTTATTTAATGACATTGTCAGTAGTTCAGACTACACAGCACTGAATGATAAGGCAATCAGTAAATAATGAGTTGGAAAGGCTGCAGAAGGGACTATCTGTGACCTAAACTGAGGTATTATGCTGTCATTTGCTTGGAGAAACTGAGGAAATCAGTCAAAACCCCGACAGTTTCTGGGCTGAGATTTGAACCTGGGACCTCCACCCACCCACTCAACTGTGACGTGCTACAGCACATTCTTTACCATGTTACTGTTTTGAAAGCAGTAATAACCACATTAATTTAATTTGAAAGAGATGATTATAAAATTCAAATTTATTATTGATTGGGCAAAATTAATTATTCAGAATAATCACAATGACCCCTCCTCAATATGAAATCTCTTTAAAACAATTACAGAAAACAGCCATGAAAATATAGCACCACACCCAAAATACAGCAGGAAGGGCAAAATATTGGAAGTCTCACATATTAATCAAGTAGATAAGGAGATTTGCTATAGGTAGAATGAACATAATTTCAACCATAACTAAATTATAATCCATATAAGAAAATCTATACAAACCATCAAAGAAATATTCTGCAACAATCTGATCATCCGTTATCTTCTTTCCTTTAAAATTCAGTTGTTCTAGATCAAGCTGAACGCCAGATTCATTCTGTATTCTTGACTTTAGGTCACGGAAAGTATCTTCAGGCTTTACATCAATTGTGATGCTCTCACCACTTACGTTTTTTAACACTATCTTCATGCTGAAACAACAATTATTTGGCTGAAAATTTGTATAAAACTATTAACATTAGTACAATTTTTTGCAAGCTGCTATGTTGTGTGCAGTAAAGTGTGGAATCACTCATGGAGAGTTGTGACTGCACTGGATGTGATATTAGTAACTCAAGTTTAATGAATACATATACAATGAACCTATTTTAAGACAAAGGTTGATCGATTGATTGATTTATTTAACATCCATAACTGTTACATTATGTACAATTGGACAAGTCAGTTTTATAAAAAAATAAAGGATGAAATAGAAACCTGTCTCCCCTGGAATATTTCTCTGGTCCCAAAAAAATAAAATAAAATTATGTCTTGGAGTTGGAAACTGTCCGACACAAGGAACTGTAGGAACTGGTACATGAAAATCTAATTGACTGGAAAACTGTCACTTTATTTTGTTACACACTCTAGTTTCAAGAATTTATGCAAAGGGACTTCAGTGGGAGCATTAGTTCAGTTGAAGATGAAACAATAGCACAGCTGAAGGAAAATTTTCAAGTAACATGGAAATCATGTGATAAGGTTCTAATTCTGATGGTTCCTATAAACAGCTGGTCAATTACGAAAATCCAACAGGAGTTCAAAGTTTCCAGTTCCATGGTTTGGACTGCCAAGAAATTGGTGGCTGAGAAAAAAATTTAAAACCAGGCAAGGTGCTGCCTCCTGCGACAGCTGAAATGGTGAAGTAATTTTATATATCTAATACAAGCAGGATCATGCTAGGGACAAAAGATTATGTTTCTGTCAATTAAGAAGGCATGAAGCTTTACCTTCTGAAACATTTCATACTGAGTAAGAGTATTTAAGTTGTTAAGCTTTTCAGAGTATGTAGAGATCACCCAAAAAAACTGTGTTGGCTGATGCAAATGGTACACAAGCAGTTAGTGAGTGTACAATTCATCAGAATGTGAAACATGGTTCCAGGTAAAAAATTGTATATCTTGACTGAAAAGCAAGAAAAATCTTATGACCGTTTGTCCTGTTTAAAATTATTTGTAACATCCCAAGTGTAAATTTCTCTACTATTGGTACGAAGCCTGATTAAAATTTAACAGTTCAAGACCAATGTGCTGATAAGAATACTAAAATGCACCTCAGGGGGGTTCCAGTTGATCTGAATGCCATCGCATGTCATGCACGTCTTGTTCAGTACATACGAGTAAATGTCACGTACTGTGAGTACTCTACCAATATTTAAGACTACGGAAGAATGAGGTACCAGTATTTGGACCGGCATGAACTATAAAAAGGAACTGGACTGTTACGTTTTCTGGTTAGTGATGAAGTGTCATTTAAAATTTTCGAGGAACTGGCTTAAATCATAATTGTTTATCATGCGGTTAGGTAATAACTTATCTTGACACCGCCGACACTTTCGTACGAATTCCTTTACGCGGACTTGTTCCGTGTTTGAAACTGACAACCATTGATTTTGGTATCAGTTCAATTTTAAAAGGCATAGTTTTTATATTATATTCCATACAAAAAGCATTCATAAGAGTTAATTATGAACTGATACGTCCATATATTGATGTGTTTCATTTCGTATCAACTTCGCAGGCATAGCGTAACAATGACCTACACAAGTGAAGCTATGACACGAGATAGCTTCACAGTTCACTTAGAGAGCCATTTTTCATCTAGTACACAAGATTGTTTACAAAGTGTCTTAGAAGCCGTGAAAATGCCGGGAACATTCTAGCGTATCACTCAATAACCAGTACTTCGAGTATTCCATGTAATGTAAATCATACCTTTATAATAAAATTGTTAGAAGGACTATATCAGACACCATAAAAAGAATTGTAACTCCTCATTAGCATCAAGCTCTTACTATTACACACACGCGTCCTTTTTTCTTAATATATACTCAGTATCACTGAACTGTAGAACGCGATCACTGAACAAAACATTATTAAACGTAAACTTCTTTTAATCTCTTCATAGTATATTTTCAGTGCACTTCTTAAAATGTTTAAATTTTATATGTGATGTTATTTATGGAACTTTATAATATTTGGCACCAATATATGGCTTCTGCAAAAACATACGTTATTATTTATAATCAATGCTTTGCGCTATACTCTGTGGCACAATTAACCACGGTTGTTCTCTTTGGACTGATTTTCGAGAGCAAAGCTACCGGGAAATTTGAGTGCCGACAGAATTGTTTTTTATCAGTGGGGGAAAAGAAAATTTGCTTACAATCTTATGTTTAAGTCGTATAAGTATATTTTTACGGATTGTCCCAGACATTCAGGGTATAATAATATTTTTTACATAGTTCTTTTGTATAATGTAGTACAGGCATATTTCCATATCTTTCAATTCTGATTGTTTTCAAAAGCCCCAGGGCAGGGGGGGCACATGTCTGGTCTCTTTCTTCAGGGGCCCCTACTTGTAAGCACTTTAAATATATATGATGGTATCATAATTGCAATACATATAGTGTTGGTCATAGATGTTTAATGACATTTATGTAAAATTTTAATTGGAATTTGGAAATATACTAATGCACTGAATTGTATGAAATTTGTGTTCTCATACAAAACTAACGAGTACCAACGTGATTTGTTCTGCACTTCCATTAAGCAGTTAAGAAATCTCAAATATTGTATACAACTGATCATCAGTTCCCATGGCCAATCTTATATAACTGAAACAATACTGTTTTATGGAAATTACAAATCACATTTACATTGTACGAATTCACTGCATTGACTTTAAGTAGATTTGACATAACCATAGACTGTTGTGCAGTTGTCTTCCCAATGAGAATTTTTGCATATTTCATGTACACAAGAAACAAACCCAAATCACTTCAGTTTAATTTATCATGAGTGTAAGAGAATTAATATCAGTAGCAGTCCTGAAGTTCATGAGTACTAAACCATTTTTACAGCCGAAATCTTTCCCTGTGTTCTATGTATTGTTATGATATTGGTATGGTTTGATTGTTTCAAATTCTTTTCTGCAAGACACAGTATTGGAGTCTTGTTCTTTCAAGAAATATGAGCCTTCATTCTCTGATAGATGAACTACCATAACAATAGAACTTTATGGTCTTTTTACTTGTAATGTTTTTTATCTACTGTTCTAAAGTAAAGCTTGTATGGCAGCAATATACATCACATGTTTTACATCATCTTGAGTACTTTTATGTCCCTAACAGCATGTAAAATTGCACATTAGCTGATCATATTATTACAATGAATTACTAAGTAGAATTTCAAATTTATATGGTACTGTGGGTGCATAATATGAACTGATACTTGACATAGAATTAAGGAACCAAGATCTTTAAGCAGCCTGTAGCCATATTATTTACGGTGCTATCGTTACTCCATTACCCCATGAAACACCAACAAAGCATGGCAGTCAGTTCCTATGCATTTACAATTACATGGATCTTGTCAAAGAAAATACAGATCTTGAAGTTACTCCCAGTTAAGTGGCCTCCGTAGTCTAGGGGTAACGTTCCCACCTCATGACTCAAGGTATGCGGGTTCAAACCCGGCGGAGGTCGTGGAATTTTTAAGGGTGGAAAAATTCAGGGAACAAGTCCTCCGGGAGGGACTTCAAGCTGTGGGTCCCTGTCGCAGCTTTACGGCACATAAAAGAACCTCATGTCTCTAGGAGACCTCCGGTAGATGGGGGAAGTATTAGGTACCACTGCCAGAGGAGAGGGGACCTCTCTGACAGAAAGGGACTAAGTATTGGATACCACTGCCAGTAGAAGGTTGGAACCTCGCTGGCAGAACAGGGCTAATAGCGAGCACCAGTACCGGTAGGGTATGGAGACAGTAAAAATGAAAAGGGGGATGCACAATGGACCAATAACTGGTCTAAGTGCATGGGGAAACCCAGTCCCTCTGTACTCAATACTCCCAGTTACCTAGTACCTGAGCATCCAGAATTCTCATCCAACAATCACAAATTTCAAAGAAAATTTAGCATTTAAGTCCCTGTATGCAAAAACTCTGGAATCTGTGGTTTCATTCTTCAGTTTTGTGTGTTGCTGTGTAGCTTACAGATAAAAACTGGAAGGAAACATCATGCTGAATTCAGGTAATTTTTGAACGTGGAGACAAGGAACATGTTGATAAACAGGATGGTCAGCTATAGATTACATTTGAAAAGAATACATAAAACACATGGCACTAAGTGGATTTTCATAATTTATTCTTCATTTTAATTGCGTAACAGGATTTGAAAAAAAAACAGTATGAACATTACACTATGCTGGTTGGTCATCACCCTTAGTTGTCCTGGTGTAAATCACTTGTGCATGGTGTTTGATCACTTGTTTTATCAGACCTACAACAGAAATGCATTCTTGAATCATTGCAAATCCATGAACGACAAGCTGAGGCTGTCTGAGGCCGAAACATGTAGTGTAGCGGAACAAGATCAAGGACACATAATATATTGTTTGCACTTGGGATGGAATTTGTATCATTATATCATTTATTGTATAGTCAGATTTATGCAAGTATTTTCCAGAACACTTAAGTGACAATTTCAATATAGCTTTGGAAAATATCATGTCTGGACATGAAAGTGATGAAGCGATATGATTTTCTGTCAGTAGTCTGATGAGTCATGCTGTGACCTGTACAGATATGTTGCAATGCCCCATGGCTCATCTAGCCTTTCTGTTCATATTTGATGAGTAGGGTTAAGACATATTTCCTTATCTGGCAAATTCTGTAGTGGTTCTGTCAAGTGCAAAATTGATTCTCATTGTTGTCACATTTGCGAGGAATACTGTGGAAAATGTCCAGGGTCCGAGAACCTATCAGAAGTTCAAAACGGAGATTAGATGTTGACAACATAGACAATGTAACCCATAGATAGTGGAATACTACTGACAGATCAACTCTGGAAACAACTATACAAACTTATAGTGACTATATGAGTACTTACAAATAGAGACGAGCCCTTCTTGAGGAGCCGCCAATTCTGCAGCTACTCAAGAACTTCCCAGCAGTTTATGGAACCCGAAAGTTCATTACCGTTCACAAGAGCCCTCCACTGGTCCATATCCCAAGCCAGATCAATCCAATCCATACCATCCCCTCTCTAAGATCCATTTTAATACTGTCCACCCACCTATGCCTAGGTCTTCCCAGTGGTCTCTTCCCTTCTGGCTTTCCCACCACTATCCTATATGCATTCCTTATCTCCCCCATTTGTGCTATATGCTCTGCCCACCTCATCCTCCTTGACCTGATCATTCTAACTATACTTGGAAAGTAAACATGTTCTGAATATGGCAACCATTTAACCATTCCTGAATTTGGGCTTCATATTTCAACTACCAACTCTAATGCAACTACTCTAACCAAAGACTCCTAACCTGTCAGTGACTACTGGCATTTATTTTTGCTTACTGGCCCAAACTCAAATCAAAGTTCTGCCACGTAACTAATCACTAATGCCTGTGCTGTTCCCTATTATAAAGCAATAGTCTACGTACTTATTTCTTAAATGAATATCATGTCACAAACACAAACTTACCTTTCTGTAGAAGTTCATCAAGAGCTTTTCTTGCAAGTGAGCCTCGTACTTTCAGTCTCTCACTGACTACAGATGGCGTGATCAGCTTATATGATGGAACCTCCTTCAAGAGTTTGTCATATGTCGCTTTATCAAAGAGCACTTGGTTGTTCAACTTGTCACGAACTTTCCCTTTTGACCATTTCTGTAAATATGTGGAGGGGAGAGGGAACTCAGTAACATTACAAATCACCTTTATTTATGAAAAGTACGTCTTTTTCAATGCAGATCCCATCAGTCTCATTAAATCAGTCTTATTTTTGCCATCATCTTGTTCTAGACAATTGAATCATCATGTATGGATTGCTGCATAACCATTCACTCATTTTCAATAAATATAATTACATCAGCATCATAACAAACAGGTTCTGTTAAACCTTACGCTGCTGCAGTCGACATGTCAATCTCTGAAAAACATGGCGTCCTTGCTGCGATCGACAAAACTCGTATTGCAACTTCTATAGTTTCAAATCTCAGGTTTCTTTGCACCAATATCATTCAAACTTGGCGGGTGCATAAAGTCATCTATTGGGAACATAATGAAGCATCATTTATTTCAATGGCTGCATTCTTCTGCCCTCTAGCTTAAGAAATGTAAAAGGTTGCATCTGCACAGCGAAGCACATGCTCCATGGTCATGTGATGTGGGTATTTCACAGGCCTGGTAAAAATGGCTTCATATAGTGCGCAGTGCTTTCTATAATAGTTTTAAATAAAGTTGGGGACTTTGGTCAACATGTGACATAGTGATATGACTAGGGTAGTGAATTATGTACTTTTTTGGTCCATCTTGGACAACCCTGATTTAAATAGAATTTTTCCCCTGTGAAAAATACTGAATAATTCAACATTTTTGCAACTTCTGCTGCCTGTTCCCTGTCTGAGGTAAGATTAGTTACATTTTATCACAAATTTTCATACTTTGCACTTAAATTATTTATAAAAGATTCAAAAATAATTCAGCACATAGGGCACTGAGTTACTTAACATACTAGCAGTGAAAGGGTTAACAAGGTCCACTACAATCCTTTGAAAACCACAACAAAAAAGTTTCAAGTTTATATAGAACTGTAACAGTAAAAAAATATAGAAAAGGGAATCAGATATATGGCAATGTGGACTGAGAGGTTCAGGCATTCTTCCAGAACACTCTCGAAGATGAATCAGCTCACACACTGCTTCTTGTCTGTAAGTGCCTGAAGTGTACAGATAACACCCTCTGGGCTGAATGGTGAAAAGGACGATTCTAACTGTTTAGTGATGGATGCAAATACCTCATGGTAAACTAGTGAATGAAATGGAAGGGTCATACCACAGGGCAAAGAAGGCAAGAGTGAATGTAGTCACCAACATGGCCATTTGTGGTTATTGTGATGTCACATGCACTGTACACCCTCCACTTCAACACCCCACATGAAGTGGAAACTTGTGCGATAAATTGTGACAGGGAGGGGTGTTACCCCATGGTGCCTCACCTAACGAAAACTTAACACATTTGTCAATCCTGAAATAAAACTGTAAAACACCACCAGCATATCCTACATGTTTGTGTTCAATAACAAAAGAATTCATATAGGTTCACCTGATAAAAGACCAGGAAACTGTACGATATACATGTGCTATATTCATTAATTTATCGCTGACTAAAAAACAGGCCATTACTAACATTACTGCGTATTGGTCTTAAAATGTTGACCAATGCCTCATACACGATCTTATCCTGTAACACACCTTCTTTTTCGCCTTGCCTCCGGAACCTCCTTCTTTCTTCTTCTGAGTCTTCTGGGGCTGTTTGGAAGAGGATCCTTTTGAATCCTTCTTGGGAGGCTGAAACCAGTTCGACATGAAAGCTCATTCTCATTCTCATTCTAGGCACGAAATTGCTCACAACCCTATTTTGTAACATATTAAACACACTGAAAGGCCGTATCGAAGAACAGTACATACTTTCCACGTGAAGTCCCAGAAATACCACATGGCGAAAATTTCCTAAATCACTTCATATAATTCATACATACCTGATTGAAACGTTCAACAAACACGTTTATTACTACAATTATATGAACAACAAATAGTAAGCCACAGCATTATATTTAATATCACAACCATAAAATACTATAACATCTTACCATTATTATAACGAAGAACTACAGGAACCGGATGCAGAGGCACGGCACGCTCTGGGACATGGATGTGTTCAGAAATAGTATACATGGTTCAGTTTAACGCAGACTATTTCCTTTTTCGTGTTGTACACATACGTAAACAATGCAAAGAGTCTAAACGTGATTCGAGGAAATAAACTGGTGTATAGTTTCATGGCCTGCATTATATAAAATTAGTACGTCTTAGTCTGAAGTTTGCAAGCAATAAAGAGTGATTCCATCGAATTGCTACCCGGAAAGAAGTTACAGCAACGGTGAGAGCTGTCATCGATCACGGCCCCTGGACAGAAGAATTTTTACAACATCGTCACATGTTTCGTGACTGGGAACGGGATTTCGATTTATTGATCGCTTCCCGCGGTTCTTCTATTGCAGCATGTGTAGTCATTGCCATGGATACGTGTTTACCGTGTCATTTCCTAACAACAGCAGTCTCTTCTGGCTCCGCTATTCAGCCTTTCAGGCGTCATAGCACAGTCTTTTCTCTATGTGTGTGGAAAAGTTATATAAGTGTAACTTATGCGCGACCGACTTTTTGGTACGAACAGAATGTATCACATGACTGCGATTAAGACAAGCGAGGCTATAAAACCGTATCATTATTCAGTTTAACTGCTACAGACATAACGAATGAATTTAATATATAACCAATTATGAAATCAATTGGACATCATAGATCTAACTTGAAAACCCGTGTTCTTCAAATGCCCCTTTCGAGAATAGCATTCTAGAGTCCAACAAAACGAAACATTTTGGACAGACACTGCAGCCTCCGGCTGGGAACAATAATAAGTGTGGATCACTAAAGTGATAATTACAGTCACTGGACCTATGATGTGGTAGGCTGATGAGTGTATCTAAGTATGTACAAAATCATATTACACATATCAAATGCGCTCGATGGCAAGATTTGAAATGGAGGTAACAGAATTTTCTGTTAGGTAGATGATGCTTGTAGCGTCTTATGGACTCTTCATCAGAATGTGAGTTCCGTGCAGTATTTATTTCACAGATGAGTTACTTGCCTGTCCAATACACTTGTGGCTCTTCATTTGTACTAACGAAATATTTATAAATTTTGGCATTCGTATGTCAACGGTATAAAGTACAAGCTGATATTCAGAAAACTGACTGAACTGTTGAAACTACTGTCCTATGGAAATCACGGCCGAGGATCCTACTCTGAAAATGGAGGCAGCAGGTTCCTTCGAAACATTGGTACTTAACTATCGAACAAACATTCCAAAATATTGTTATGCACGGATTACTGTGCGTAGTCATCAAAGAGCACCAATGTGAGACATTCACGCCGCACGTGACACACCGTTGCCTATTGTAGCGATACGCGTGTCGTACTGGCAAGAAATTCGACAGCGAAGCACAACGTGTGGCAATATGGAAGGCAGAGTAGAGGATGTAGCGATAGTGGACCGGTGACGATTCATATCGATTCAAATAAGATAATTTTTCCATCTGGATGACAATTTTTGTGAATGATTTTCAGCGGTAGACAGAGAAATTTTTACAGGAAGTGTGAGTTACAGTCCCATTATATGGTGGTGGTTATAATAGTAGTGTATGTTTTTGTAAGACGTGTATAAGGTCTGATGTAGTCATTAAAAAGTGTGTGTTATCTAGAATTAATGCTTGCCTATGTCAAATTCGAGAAACCACGCAAAAATGAAAGTGTTATTTTGAAGATAAAATGACAAAAAAGCTCTCCCATTTGTTTGGTAGCATGACTATTCATAAGAATACTTCACTAATATTGCTGCTGTTTTCACAGGAACACACCATATACACCAAAAATGATTCCCATGACACACAAGGATCCAGCTCGCTCACTGGGATCAAGAATCAAAGAAAAACTTAATGGTTGGATACGCTTGATATTCTCTGACCGCAACTCCCGAAATTTATTTCTTTTCTTACTTTTGAATCTGTCATTTGCATTTGTAGAACTGACATATGGAATCTGGACCAATAGTTTGGGCCTTATTTCAGATTCATTTCACATGTTCTTTGATTGTACTGGTCTTTTAGCAGGACTTGCTGCTTCTGTTATTACAAGGTGGAGAGCAAATGATAAATTTTCATATGGTTATGTACGTGCTGAAGTTTTAGCTGGTTTTGTCAATGGATTATTTCTTCTTTTTATTGCATTCTTCATAATGTCTGAAGCAGTAGAAAGAGCTATTGAGCCACCAGAAGTAAAACATGAGCGACTTTTTGTTGTCTCAGTCCTTGGACTTCTAGTGAACCTGGTTGGAATATATGCTTTTCAGCATGGTCATGGCCATGCTCATGGTGTGGGTGGTAGTCATGGTCATTCACATGGAGGGGGAGGACATTCACATCCTCATTCACATGGTGGTTTCAGTGACCATCATTCACACAGCCATGATTCAGGTGATTTCACAGGTAGTGACTCTCAGATCATGAAGGGAGTATTCCTACACATTTTGGCAGATACTCTGGGTAGTGTAGGAGTTATCATATCTGCTGTCCTGATGCAGATGTTTGGGTGGTTGATAGCAGACCCAATCTGTTCTATGTTCATTGCTATACTGATTGCACTTAGTGTCCTTGCACTCATAAAAGAATCTGTGCTAATTTTGATGCAACGGCAACCACCCGCACTGGATGGTGTGTTGCCCCAGTGTTACCAGAAAGTGATGCAGTTGGCTGGTGTGTACAGTGTTCAAGAGCCCCACTTTTGGACTTTATGTAGTGATGTGTATGTAGGTGCTCTTAAACTTGAAGTGTCAAAAGCATCAGATCCAAAGTACATAGTGAGCCACACCCATATGATATTTGCTGCTGTTGGCGTCAAACAGCTTTATGTTCAGTTGGACTATGCCAACATGTGATCTTGCCATGACACAAGTGGGCATATCTCTTCACTACCAAGATCACTGCCAGTCCTTCAGTGTGGAGTGTGTCACCACAGATGGCTTGCACTAGTTCTTGGAGTAGCATGGTGCAAGGAAACAGTGATGCGCCTCATTTGTCTTCCAAAACAATTGAGGTTTACCCGGATGAAAGCTGTAAAAAGTGGGTCTATGGTGGTGTGACTATGATTGTCACTTGATGGCAGTATTATAATCCTGACTTCTTAGGAATTACACACATTAATTACTAAGTTGTATCCATGTGCATTCCTCTGTGCATTTGATTATGTAAATGGTATGGAATGTTAAATCGTGACTATGGAAAAAATACTTCCAGATGATTATTTCCAGTGCAAGATCTCCTAATGAATAAAATTTAATTGTAATTGCAGTGAAATGATGTGGTCACATGTATATTTGTATATAGTGCAACTCATAATTTAATATCCAGATTTGTGTATAATAAACCATTGATTTTGTGAATAATCAATGCAGATGCTTTATACCTGTCTTATGTATGATATGTTTGGGTCTGGGAAATATTGTTTTTTATTGGAAGGTTCATGGCTATTTATTAAAGTATACATTTTTGTTACTACATGGCTTATATTTTATACAAAAAGAAATGTCATTCCTCGATTCATAGGATAGGCAGTTGGGCCTGTTCCAACTTCACGTACGCATTTAATCTTTGCTTAGCAACGGTGAGTAAACAGCGGTTGCTAGGCAAAGCCTACAACAATACGGAAAGTGACATGTTTTCTATATGTCTGACTCCAGGTTATATAAGATACATTGAGTGTAAGAGAGGGCACCTGTGTGGAGGTGGGGTCGAATACCTCCACCATGACTCTGCGAGTCGTAAGAGGCGACGAAAAGGGAAGTCTCAATTCTGAGACAGTAAAATATGGTCACAGGTCTCAAGGGACTGGGACCCAAGAAAGACTGCGCTGGGAAGGGCCAGCAGCATATACAAGAGACAGACCCGTCATCTCGTCAGAGAGGGCGCCACACAAAATCACGACCGTAACTGTCAAACAGTGGGGCTCGAAACCAAGACATACTGACTGACAGACCGTCAGTTCCAATGTGACTTTGACTTTGAGAGAGGGCACCCCAAATGAACAGGACAGAAACTTTCATATAAGAAAAAAAAATCTCGACACCAAGACAGACAGACTGATGGACCATCAGTTGCAATGTGACTTGGACTTGGAAGTTTACAGAGTGGAGTTGTAGGAGGCGACAAAAAGGGAAGTTTCAAATCTTAGACAGTAAAATATAGTCTCAAGTCCCAAGGGACTAGACCCAAGAAAGACTGCACTGGCAAGGGCCAGCAGCATATACAAAAGGCAGAACCGTCCTCTCATCAGAGAGGACGCCCCACAAAAACAAGGCGGTAAATGCAAAACAGTAATAAATATCCGGTCATGAGCCCCAGATGGGGCTCGACACCAAGACTTACTGACTGACTGACCGTCAGTTGCAATGTGACTTGGACCTGGAAGTTTACAGGTGACGAAAAGGGAAGTCTCAAATCTGAGACAGTAAAATACAGTCGCGAGCCCCAAGGGACTTGTACCTGAGAAAGACTGCGCTGGCAAGGGCCAGTAGCATGTAAATAAGACAGACCTGACCTCTCGTCAGAGAGGACGCTCCACAAGAAAACAAAACCGTTCAACAGTAATAAATATCTGGTCATGAGCCCCACACGGGGCTCAACACCAAGACTTACTGACTGACTGAACATCAGTTGCAACGTAACTTGGAAGTTCACAGTTCTAGATTTCTAGTTCAGTATTGTTATTCTTGAATTCTTCAAACTCAAGTTCGTCTGTGTATACTGTGTGACTGAAATATTATAGAACAGTCCAACAAGTGGTTGTCTCTTCATATAATGACATCCCACACTCTATAACCTGTTTCAGTATATTGTCATGTCATTCTGTTGAGATGATTTATCCAATTTTGTCTCTGCTCACATTTTGTGATGGAACTTGTTTCACTAGGCCTGTGGTATGTCTAGGTAATACGTTTGTGATCCAAATCTCAGTTACACTGCTATAGTTTTACGAATTTTGATTACAGAGAAGGCTTTTAAAAGAAATTTGTAACATTCAGGATAAAGTGTTAGGATGTCATTAAATTGGCAACATAAATTTTAACTTTATCAGTGCATGTTACAATTTCATGTATCGAATATCTAATGACCAATTTCCAGTCTTATGAATAAGCTGCATAGGCGAGTTTAGAAGGGCTCCAGAAATGCAATAGAAGTTACAGCGGTGCATAGAAAGAGCATTTTCTGTTTCTGGTAGGACACAAAATACTCAAGGAATATATTTGTTATGCTGGTGGACTGAATTGGCATTTCTGCAGCTCCTCTGCGTCGTTTATTTGGACATCGGATACAACACAGACAACCGTCACAAGTAAGTGTATCTATATAGGATAAAACACAAGACAACTGTCACAAATAACAAGTGAATATCATCATCTGATATATCATAGAGGCAATCCCTAGAATCGTAGTGTATGGCATATGCCATGATGGATTTGGGCAATGAATGACATTGGGGATGGTGAAACTGAAATTCTTGGATTGAATGCAGACACTGAAGAAGCTGGAGCTGCAAAGTAATGTTTTATGTAATGTACCAAGAACTCGTGTCCATGTGCATTGCTGATACCGAGAAGTGCAAGATGTCTGCTGAATAGTTTTAACACTTCCATTAGTTTTGTAAAGGACCTCTTTTAACTACTCAGTGTAGCACTGTAGCCATGACTGTGTCCAACAGAACTTTTAAAAAATTTCACTGTACTTAGTGTTTGATCAGTAGTTAACTGTTTTATAAAGCAATGACAACCGTGTATACCACCTAACTTAATGTTCAGTTCTCAGCATCTCATTCATGTATTTATTGCCTTCCTGAGCTTCCAGCTGTTCTTAAAATACACATCTGTAGTTTTTCTAGACATTAAATGATCATAATGGAACTGCAGTATAGCAGGAACCAAACCTTAAAATATCTTAATGGGTTAAATTAACAGCCTGGTCTTTTGTCTGCTCTTTGGCTTAAGTTTTGCTCAGAGTTAAAACGATGTTGACATGAAAAGAGTGCCATAGCAAGGGCTGCAGTTGGCGTACAGAATGTGACCCTGCATTATATATATTGATATGCTGAGTAGTGAATCTCAACTGGTGGGACATGAGGTCTCAAAAATAATAATTCAATTCTGTACACAAAAATTTTCCTGCATTTTATTTTAAGTACAAGCTTTGAATTAACTCTGCACTATGGAGAGTTCTATCTTCTGGGATATAATGCTGTGTGATATGCTGAAAGTCTACAAATGTTACAGAGGAAGATGTCACCTCCATCTCTATCAGCAGAGATCTGCTTGCTACTGCTCCATGCTGGTTTCTTGGCATAAAAAATCAGCTGACTTTCAATGGACTCCATGGCATTGTATCCCAGAAGACAGAACTGTTCATAATCACTGCTATAAGAACCTCAAATCCAACATAATTTTGCTCTATAATCACATTTCTGCTAACAACAATGTTGTTATATGATTATAGCAATGGAACATAAAAATTGTTACAGTTTTATCATTCCTAGAACCTAATACATTAATGATTAATACTAAAATGTACATAATTATGAAAATAAACTTCTTGGGGAAAAAGGCTGCTTTTTTGACTGTGGTTGATTATACTTTTTAAACATAAATATCAACGAGAGGTAATATGCAAAAGGTTAAGAATCACTGTTCTAAAGCACATATTACTATCCAGTTCGAATTAACTACAATGAAATCATTAAGTCTGTGTATAATAATTATCATTTAATTATAAATAAGGTATTCAGTCTTTCATACAATAATGTGAATATACGATGTACAAAATAAATGTAAATGATGTGATGGTGGCCTTAACAAAGGAACTGTGTACACTGGTTATATATATTATGTATAAAAACACTACATATTTGTAAGATTTGAGGTTTTCATGGCGGTGACTGTGAAGAAAGTCGTCTTCTGGGATGTGGTGTTTCAAACATCCAGACAAGTCGGCTGTGGCGGAACACAGCATTCAGCTTCAGAATACCTCCATCCTTGCTACCAAGACCCATTATATGGATCACATCATTAGGGAGGCCATTGAGATTGAACTCCATCCTGACAATATGAACAGAGAGATGGGGTTTTGTCTCAGCAAGTCATGGAAGCCTCTCATCTGTTCCCTCAAGAAACCTCTGAAATATGGCAGACCCTATAGGCCACTCAGGTCCATTGCAGCCCCCAAGCTACAGGTTTTTTTTACTGCTAGTGGGGTGGGACTAAGTCCCTTGTACTGTGGCCACTTCTGGCCTATTGTACCAGCCCCAGATGATAGGTGAGGGTGGTTGTGGAGGAATTGGTGGAATGAAGATTGGCAGGGGAAACCAAAGTACTCGGAGAAAACCTGCCCCAGTGCCACTTGGTCCACCATAAATCCCGCTTAACCAGACCCGAACCCCGGGCCGCCACAGTGGGAAGGCAGCAACTAACCGCTTGAGCTATAGGGTTAATGCCCTCCATTTAACCTTCCCTTCTGTCCCCCCTAACACATACTCTATACCAGCTCTGGCCGTTTCACTAGACTTCCCCTCCTCCTCCCTACTATTTCCCTATGTAGCCACACTCACTTCCCTCCTCCTCTTATACAGCTGTATTTACTCGACTGGACTCAGTCTGTTTCACCTGTTCTAGCTGGTTCGCTCGCGGATTTCTTCTTGTCTTCTACCCTGAAGATGGAGGCGATACGTTCCTAGGAAATGTCAGTTAACGCACATCCCAGAAGACGGTGTTCTTCACTATACATATTTGATTATAGTTGTCAACTTCAAAATTCCAAGAATCAGTGTACTCAAACTGTGACCAATATTTTATTATAAAGTCATGAAAACTGTTGCCATGAATAAACTTATCAGTTGTTAACAGTAATTTGAGCTACTTACAAGTTTTCTCTCCCTTTGGCATTTTATGGTGGTAAAGGTTGGCTGTGAAATTATGAGTTCTGTTCCCTTCTTGCTACTGTTATTGTTTTCAATTTTATTATTTCAGTTGTTTATTATTATACGTGTTATTTCAGATTTCACTGGGTAAATGAAAGAGCTATGACAAAATGCAGGAAGAAGACAAACTTAAATGATACAAGATTTAGAATGTGGTCACAGGAACCAAGGTTACCTCGCTGACTATGCCTAATTCAGTCACATCTATAGGGTACAAAAGGCACCTTCTATGTGCAGTATATTTAAAAGACACAACTTTTAAGTTGTTAGCATTTACTAGTTATGCTAGTCTGTAAAATGTTATTAAATTCTGCTTTCTGAAATAAATGGTAATAATTTGACAAACCTATCATACATCATTTTTAAAACATTTTATACATCTGAATAGTGAACAAAATAAGAAAATCTTGGTAGTATATTGAGGAGTTCCTGGAAAGCGAGTGTTGTTATTGGGCATTATGTTGCTTCATTTCTCAACAAATCAAGACTTCATGAAGCTCTGAACGTAGATCACCTTAAATTTCATATTCTTATATAATTAACAGTGATCTCAACATGACACCTGCAGTGCTGACACTTGATGAAAGTATGAACATAGACAGAATTTTGGGTGAAAAACCTCTCTGAAAGCAGTCACATAAGGAAGACAGATAAGGAGGTCAGATGGTATCTAAATGCATCCAGAACAAGCATTCTTTGCATTTCCAACAATCCTCTTGCTCTCCTTTTCTAGGAAATATGAAACCAGCCCAGTCTTCCAACCTGTAGTCTTGACACCAGACTGCTAGTCCCATAGGCAGCTGCATTTTAGGCACACATCTTTAATCCGCTATCACTTTCTGTGGTAGTTTGGTGTAGTCTGCCAACTCTAACATTGTGACTTTCATTACCTGATTTTTTATGACAACAGATCTTGCACCTATATCAATGATGTAAACAGATGGCATATCGGAATACAGTTTCACTAGCATTGCCTTGAAATGTGATGGCAACTTCTTGCAAAGGGAAACTGTTTGCTGTAAAGAAAACCAGCTCCTCTGCATCATCTGAACACACCACTGTGCTGAATTTAATGATGTTGCATGAAACTGATATTCCAATATCTCTGAATCCATAAAAATGATATTAGCGTATGACTGGCATACATTCCATTTTCTCTGTCGTTTCCCTTTCAGATGTTTGCTTTGGGAGATGCTATACCTTGCTCTTAGTTTCTGCTTACACTTCCTTTAAACAGAAGTAATTTTAATTTTTCCTTATTAAAATCAAAATGTAAGACCCAATGCACTCCATACATTTTAAATCAGAACTAAAATAAAAAGTTTGGGGCTAACATTTTGTAGCACTTGTTAGAGTTTGTGATTAACATAGTCGAGTGACCATCCACCAGTGCCATCCAAGGAGAGAACAGCTGTGTGGAACTTTGAGAGTGTGATTCCACTGCGTGCTGCTGTGATGTTAGTGATGTTCAAATCACAGCATTTCTGCATGATAATTTCTTCATACCTTGGTGACAGTGTACAAGTTGCCTCATCAGTCACAGAAAATAAGGGGTGATGATAAAATACTCTGAGAAAACTTAATCGCTGCAATTCACTTTCAGACAGTGTGTCCAACCTGTAATTAGTTCACAGAATTAGTCACTGATCATTAGTTCTATTAACTAAACACCCACGATAAACTTGCCATACAGCATCTGTCAACAGACATTAACAGGTCTCAACTGCAGGTCTACTACAGAGACCCTGTCATTATCCATGAAATCACTGTCTGGCTAAGGTAGTAATGCACAAACTGTACTCATGAAACACATATCTCTTGAGAGAAGACTGATGGAACTCCACGTCAGTAAAGTATACAAGAGCCACTGGAACCCTATTAACTGTACGTGGGATAATAAAATGATTTTAGTAATATACAGTTAAACACTCATCTCATGTTTTAATTCAAGGTTTTCTCTCAATTAGTCTTGAATTTTAATGATCCTAATTCTGAGTGCATATTTCCTCTGTTAAGATTCTCCTTGGTTCAGTCTTCAGCAGTATTTAATTAAAAGAACATAATGGTCCACAATGTGTTAATGTAAAGGTAGAGTTGTCCCTTTGCTTAACAAATTAAGCACTACGCCATGAAGGCAGAGGAGGGGACGTATAGATCCACATTTTCTTGACCTTTGCACTAGCTGGAGGTGAGTGGTCAGCTTCACTCCCTGGCCGCCTTCCAGGGAAAGAGCCCCTCGTACCCATTGGATAGGAGGCAGGGTGGACCCTAGAGCCGATCTGGATGACTTGAGAAAATTCTTGAACTTTGACCCCTTGATCGTCCACCCATAGCCAGTCGCTATACTGACTAAGCTATCCCAGCTCCTATGTGTTAATTCACTGCTCAGTATTAAGAAAGTAAAAACAGAGAACTCCCAACATTAACAAAAATTTTACAGTGAAGGTTGGAATTGCCTCACTCAATGTAACACAGCAAACCAATATACAAACACTTAAAGTGTACAGTGTTTATATATGACTGTAATGTTGCTATATGAATTTTAAACAAAGTTGGTCATTTATGAAACCAAAATAATTTTTATAGTAGTGACTGCTGTTATCTTCCATTCCAGATACTATAAACACAAAATGTGCGTATGTTCATAATCTCTCTCACCAAGACTCGAATGGTATTACAGCTGTTATGTTTACCAACAACCTTACTAGCGTCAAAATTTGTCTATTCTATGTAACATTTTTGCCTAATAAACTGACATCAACAGTACAGGAGTGGTAGATGCTAAGCCTCATTCAGTTCTAGTTCCACCTTGACTTTCCCAGTGGTATACTGCCATATATGTCTACAATGAATCCAACAGAACATTCTTTGTATTACTGCTGTCAGTGGATACTCACTGTACTTACCAGTTCCAGGGAACTACAGCATCCAGTCCTCCTAGTTGGAAGAGCAATATTTCAAGATCCAGCAAATGTAATAATTCCAAAATATTTTCATCACTTGCAGTGCCTTCATTTCCCATTACCTTGAATGGATAAATAATCTGTAAGCAAGGATAATTTTTCCATTTCTTCTAATAGCAACATTAAGGATAATATTTATCACATATTATTCAGAAATGCAAGCATTAATTTCAAAATATTTTCAAGTCCTCAACACATAAAGCACATCTCCTCAAATTGAAATTTTCTGTTATGACAGAATTATTTGTGAGTTAGTGGATAAACTTAGATACAGTAAAATCTTTATGTATGGAAAGTCTGTTGGTTTCTTGGTTAGTGGGTAAATGGGTATAAAGTTGACTTAGCTGCACTGGTTATGTACAACTGCTAACACAGTGAACAAGTGAAATTACTTAAAAAGTAATTTTAAGCTAACTTAACCTGAACTTTTATAGCAGAATTTCTTTTATATGTAATGGTTATACCACCACTACTTGAACACCAGAGCATCATTTGTGTTGAGCATACCACTTGAGAGACAGAAGCATCATATTGTGCATCTCACACTTATACTTCTGTGAAACTGTCTTAACAAAACTAACCAACATTAGCAATATAAACATAGTATGAAAGCTCAGTATGGCTAACACTGCTGATACCAAATCCCACTTATGGAAATAACCCTGAACTAGCTATACACCTACAGTTATCATGACCTATTCTTTGAGCTCCACCTTAATGCTATCCTGCCATCTATTTTACAGTCTTACAAGCAGCCATTTTCTAAGAAGTTTCTGTATGAATTCCCAATTTCCCTCATTTCATCCTACCTTCCTAGAGTTCCATGTTTCAACAACTCGATAACCTATGTAAACTACAAACTTCCTTGTTATGTAAGATTCCAAATTCCCCACTTTCTTAGGTACGAGGGTTAAAATTTTAATAGTGGCAACTATTTATTTACAACTGAAACAAAGTAGATGCATGTTTCAAAGTTTTACTGTCCTTCACTGTAGTCACCAGCATTGTGTACAACCCATTGCCAGCAATGTGGAAGTCGTAGGATACCTTTAGCAGCACCTGTTCTGTTGATAGTTCGAATGGAGTGTTCTACTGCCTCAAGAATCTCCGGAACAGTCCTGAAGTGAATGCCACAAAGTGGTTCCTTCATCTTAGGAATCAAGTCAAAGTCACAAGGGCTTAAGTCTGGGGAGTATGGTGGATGGTACAGCACTTCCCAGCCCCATCGATCGAACAAATCAGCGTCGTATCGTAGCAATTTCTGCATTTCTGTCAAATCATGCGGAACCCAACGTGATGCAATTTTTCTCATGCCCCGGTGTTCGTTCAGAATGTGAAGCACAGTCATATGCACTAATCCTGTCTCTTGGGCCAGCTCACGAATCGTATGGTGTTGATCACTCCAGTAACGTGGAAAGAACTTCTTCTTCAATGACACTAGGATGACCTGGCCGACGCATGTCTGCCACATTTTGGCGTCCCTTGTTGAAGGCTTTTACCCACCTCGCCACTGTTCTGTACGGCAATGCAGATTCCCTGCAAGCCTCCTAAAGACCTTGATGACACTGTTATGCTGTATGGCCACTGGCACATTCAGTCTTTATCCAACTCTGTTGTTCCTGTTCGGAAACATCATGACAACACTACATTAGACCGCCAGCTAACACGAGGCTTTTTTCTTCTCGTCACTGTGCATGCATGTGATGTGGGAAGGGAGAGTGCATTTGCTCTGAGGTAAGGTAGGTATGCAACTAACGTGTGATATAAGTGACATTTGGTTCAGTTGCATGGCGTCTCTACAGCAGTGTTGCCACTATTAAAGTTCCAACCCTCGTACAAACATTTTTCACATTTTCATATTTTTCCTTCAAAAAGGCCATCTTTCATCCCCATACAAAACAGGTCTCAAAATTACTGTTTTATATATCCTGACAGATGTGATAAAAGCTTTTGAACTGAATAATAACAAGTATTACTAGAATTTAATTTTCTTCTAAGGAGACTGTAGCACATAAATCTGTACCATATTTATTTCTGTCTCATTAGGAAACAAATTTCCTTTATTACACGAAATCTTGTTCCACAGGTTCTTTGTATCGAGGTTAAACTATATCAATGTACTCCATGTATTTTACAATTTACTTACACTCAGCAACACTCATAGTAGCTCAGATTATACATCAAATAACATGGCAATTAGTGAATAATAAATTAAAAAAGGACATGGATGAAAATAGTCTTGCCTTAATCTCAGATAATATCCTGTCATTTGCCTAGAGGAACTGAGGAAAATCATGAAGTCCTCAGTCACAACAGTTTGTGCCTCAGCCAGGAATCAGCCTGGGCACTTCCTGAATAAATCTCATTAGTGTCACCAAGGGAACCACCTTACTCAAGTACCGTTCTGTTCAGAAAATATATAACAGAAGCCTTTACTGTAACCTAAGATTATGCAGTATATCAAACACATACATTTTTCAGATACAGTATAAATTCAGTACATTCCAGTTAGCTATGAAAATTCTCACCATGTGTGCAGTCTTGTAAATAACGAACAAAGAGAATCAATAATTAAATGCATTGGGAACACCTCAGAATGAACATAATTTATGTTACCTGCTCTCTAAGACATCCACTTATGAACACAGGTTTCTGTGGTACAAACACAACTCCTGATGGACCATCTGGGATGTTGCATGTAATCTTTCCCTGATTAACATCCCACAATCCATGTAACACTCTCAGCAAACTGGACTTGCCCGAGGAAGAACCGCCAATAATTAAGAGATTTTCCCCAGCCTGTATCTTCAGAGTTAAATCTTCAAAAGGAAATAAATTGAAACTTATAATTTACCAGAAAAACAACTTTATCACTGTAATAACTTAAAACTACACAGTGTAAAAGGTAAAGTTGTCCCTGTGATTAACTAATTAAATACTATGCCATGAAGGCGTATGGGGAGTGGATGCATACTTGTAAATGTCTGCCATGATGCAACAGGCAAGCATATTCTGATATTATAAATGATGAGCATTTCTATCCAGGAAAACATCAAGCCAGACACATACCTGAATCTGTAACATTAAACTAAGAGGTGACAATATAAGTACCATAAAGAATTATGCAGCAACACTTCTTCTGTTAATTAAGGAAGTGGTGGGCCGCGCCATAGCTCAAGCGGTTAGTCGCTGGCTTCCCACTGTGGTGGCCTGGGTTCAATCCTGGGTCTGGTCAAGTGGGATTTGTGGTGGACAAAGTGGCCCTAGGGCAGGTTTTCTCAGACTACTTTGGTTTCCCCTGCCAATCTTCATTCCACCAATTGCTCCACAATCACCCTCACCTATCATCTGGGGCTGGTACAATAGGCCAGAAGTGGCTGCAGTACAAGCGACTTAGTCCAAACCCACTAGCAATAACAAAAGTAATAAGGAAGTGGCCTAAAACTTGACAGATACTGTAGCTGGTGGCATGTAAAAAATGGAACACAATGGATTTTGAACGTGCTCACGAATGTTATTCAACATTTCTGTATTTTGAAGAAAATATCAATATGGCACTGTGGTTTACTATTACGAAAATTGAAATTACGAAGTCATATGTTTGGATACATCAATAATGAAACCATCTTCCTAAAATTCTTCCTGTCATAATCATACCACTGGAGAACAAAACATTTCACAGACTGTTCTCAAACTTTGGATAGGAACTGGCAGGGAAAGTAGAAAGTACTGGAAATGACCTCTCTTATGGCCTCATTTTAAGAGATTCACTCGGAACATTATTATCCAGGATTTATATACGATCTGAGGTTTCCACAGTCAGGAAGATTTAGACTATGGACTGAGGTCTTCTGAGTTTCGTGGAACTAAGTGACTATTATGACACCCCCCATAAATAGGGTCCTACATTTCATCTAAAGTGTAGGGTTAACAAAGGGTTAATCAAAGGGGATGCACAATAAATCAGTGATGGTCACAGTGCAAGGGCCAAATTGCTATGGCCCACCATTACACATACATTGTGAGGTCTTCTGGGTTGTGAACATCATGTAATCTGGTAGGTGGGTATCAATGCTTCAGAGGAACATACTGTCATCTTCTTAGTAGAAACCCAGAATTTTCATGAGTGAATACCCAGACATTGATCTTAAAAGGACAAATCAAATGAAGTGCTACATATCTATAGTACCTTTGATTAATACGTGATCTGTAAGTGGCAATTTTATTGTCACATTCTCCAAACTCCAACCATAAACATGCATTTTCCAGGCCCTGTGAAAAAACAACAGAATACCATACATGTTCTTGAAACTCTGTAAAAAGTAAGACAATACTTATATCAAATTATAAAACCAGGAAAGTACCGGAAGAAAGAATTAACTCAGACTGTAATTACAATATACTTCACCATGTGTTTTGATGTGATATACTGTATTTTTTACAGAAAATCTATTATGGCACACATATAGACTTAATACAGTAGAACATTAAACAGGTGAAATGAGACATTTTATACTACAGAGCTAAAGATAAAACATCTGAAAGCTATGAACATACAACAGTTCATACTGAACTTTGCTGAATCATATGTGTACAATGTCTACCAAACAATTTAAGTAAGAAACCTAACACCTCTAGAAACACTTCTGCTCACTGAAAGTCAACATTAAGAATCTCTTATATTTTCATGTGGGGGTCATAAATATTTGTACTGCAAGACTAACCTCTCTGAGCCTATCTGTGACAGACATCGTATCTGAGCCTCAGCACCCCCCATCAGCTGTTCCAACTGTTCAATGAGTTCTGATAATCGATGAGTTGTTTCTGCCAAAGTAGACATTTTCCCCCTCACAGACATTAATGAACTTAGCACTGAGATAAAGTAGATAACATAAAAAGAATTCTGAAAAAGATATGAAACAAAATGTGATAAGGAAAATTACAGTATTTTTTTTCTGTTATAATGCAGTAATAGGAGAGTGAATTTTGGTTCCATATTAAGCATGTCTCGATGAAAAAGCGAACCAATTATTGCTGAGCCTATAGCACTATAAATGAGTAATATATAGTTTTCTGAGATTACTTTTGGGTTTTGAATTACTTTGGGCTTATGTGCTTGTCTTATTTTTAACTGTGAAATATAAATTTTAATAACATTATAATAGAGAACAGTATGTATTACACTGAAGAAACAAACTGGATGGATCACATCATTAGATGATGGTTCATAATACCATTCTCAATATGCTGGATAACTGGAATCTCAGATACATTTCATACTGCAGTCTTTTACAATGTAAACACATTTAAGGAAAATTAACAAGTAATATACTAAACTTCCCACTATCCAGCATGTATGGGAAATAGGGTGTGCTGGCTGCATGGGAAAAACTCTAACAGAACCCAATTCTCACTATTTCAAAGTCAAAACAATACATCCTTGTTTAAGTTCTTGTGTAGGAGTCTTCTCAGGAGACATTTAACCTGCAATGTAATCACATATCACTGGAAGTGTAATTGCACCTGTACATGGAAAGACGAGAGGCAGTGCTACTAATAGTGGTCGGGAGAAATACTGCATGGTGGGTCAATACATGTGCACCATAATTTCGTTTTTGAAGTAATCTCAGAAGATGGTGAATTATCTTTGAAATTTCTGCAAGGTGCATGAGAATTTTTGATGCCTGGATGCCAGATAACTAGAAATGCACTGTATAAGCCCAATATAATGTACAAATACGTACAAACAAGGGACACCGCCATATTTACTTTAAGACAATTTTCTAATGAACTGATGACAATTACAGTAAAGGGTGAACCTGGTGAGGTTGTGTATTATTATGTAAATAAAATAAAACTTTATTACATCACAATTAATTAAGTACAAGGACAACTTTACCCTCAGCTTTCATCACAACATATTATCTACTGCTCTTCAACCCCACAATCACTGATCTGGCGTTCCTCATATCTGCTTCACTGAAGCTCATTTCTAATCTAATGACTATGTTAAGTATGGCTGAAGTTCTACTCACCTTACTTATCAACACACTGATTTGAACAGCATTATAGTTATTATAGAGGCCTCCATAAACAGGCAAAAAGAGAAGAATATAGCTCAGAATACTTCCAAAGCAATCCAATGAATTAATGGTAATGTTCCATGCAAATTTCCAACAATACAATTGTCGTTCTGTTGATATCAGTTTGTCAAACTCCTCTCTAACTTTTAGAGCTTCGGTTTGAGTTGAGTCGCAGAATGCAAACGATTCTGAGTTTGCGTGTATATGGGAGTGATGAAGTCTGTACCGATAAATACAATAACAAATGAATTATATATTAAAAGTTAGGTTGCAAAATCTTTTAAACAATATTATGGGTTCAGTATCTTTGTGTTAGATTAGTATTCGAAGGATACTGTGTCTGAGTTCCGATGCTGTTATAGGAAGTGAAGCACATTGCAATAAATGAATATCTAGTGTCTGTATTAAATTACAATCTATCCCTAAAATTGTGTAATTATGTGAAGGATATATAGCATCAACACTTCCATCTATTAGCAATGATTAAAACTGCTTTAACTAAATGAAAATAGTTTCAACTTCATTAAAAAGGGGTAAAGGAAAAAGGTTAAGTTGTCCCTGTGTTTATCTAATTAAGCATTACGCCGTGAAGGTGTATGGGGGAGTGGATGCATAGATCCCCATTTTCTTGATCTTGGCACTAGCTGGAGGTGAGTGGTCAGCTTCACACCCTGGACTCTTTACCCCGGGATAAGTCCCCAGTACACATTGGATAGGAGGTTGGGTGGACCCCAGAGCCGGTCTGGATGATTGGGAGAAGAGAAAATTCTTGACCCTACAGGGACTCAAACTCCGACCCCAGTCATTCAGCCCGTAGCCAGTCATTATAACGACTACGCTACCCGAGCTCCTCACTAAAAAGGGGAAATAGCCATAAATTTATAGCAAATTCAGCTGAACCACAAATTCTAAGCATGATCACTGAATCTAAATTCTGGTACACAGACTGTGGTAATTACTAATATAAACATGGTATACTACACCTGTCGTTTTTACATTCACAACTTACAGTAACATTTAATGTCAAGTAGCATCCAAATAACTAATTCAAGGAGACTCATAGAAATAAAACACTTTTACTTGGATGACCAGAAATAATCAGGAGATATCCGTATTACAGCCACTTCACAGGCCAAAATGAATAACAGCAACAATACTAGCCCCTTTTGGCATAGGAATTCTGAAAATTATATAATCAGGGACTCTAAGTTATACACAATTTGGAATCAAGGAGTGATTAAGCTTGCATTTCAGCAGCCATCAACAGTCACTACGAAGATGAAGCTTTAAAATGAAGTCCACATGCTGAACAGAGGATGTCAAGTCTACATTCAGGAACTGGTTCAATGCATATTAATGCACACTAACATACCTCACAAAGGACAAACACAGAATCCTTCACAACACATAAAAACAAAGCATGACATGAATCACAGGAGGATCATTATGTAAATCTTATTAAACCATTCCAATGCCAGTTCAATAGAAAAACGTTTCAAATTATATTTTAGTGAGAATTTCCATTCCATATCAATTATCACATTTCATTGAAAAACTGAACCAGTATTGGGTTCTTGCTGATCTTACAAATTGTCAACATAGATTTCTTAAAAAGAGTTTCAAATTCCTCGGGCTTAGTGCATACAGAATGCCACCAAATCCTGAGACAGTAACTTACAATCAAAGGTGATGGCCATGCCAAGGCTCAAGCAGTTAGTCACAGGCTTCCAATCGCGGAGGCCTGGGTTCGAGCCCGGAGTCTGGTCATGTGGGATTTGTGGTGGACAAAGTGGTGCTCGGGCAGGATTTCTCCTAGTACTTTGGTTTCCCCTCCCAATCTTCATTCCACTAATTGCTCCACAATCACCCTCACCTATCATCAGGGGCCGGAACAATAGGCCAGAAGTGGCCGCAGTACAAGGGACTTAGTCCCACCCCACTAGCAATTAAAAAATTATAGGTGAAGCTAGGGTAGATCTGGTATGTATGAAAACGAAATGTTTCTATTTATTAATCATTGTCATCCACTGGAATCCATTATTATTAAATATAAATTCTTAACATTTGTCTGCATACCACATAAGCAATGACAAAAAATATAAATTTAATAGCTCAAATGATTTTAGTTCATAATTGGCATTAAAAGCAATTAGTATAACTCAAAAGTTAAAATACTGCCATACTGTGCAACAAATAATTGCTTCACACTTCATGCACCAAATAATTATAATTAATGATATGGTGTTGGAATAGAATTAATTTAGACCAAGTAGCAAACAGTGAGTTAAGAGAGAAAAGTGCATGGATGCTGCCACATCGCAATAGGCTAAAAGCAGTCTGTAAATATAACATTTATAATCAAGTTTCAAGCACATACAATAGTAACTCAAAACTGCGTAGAAAAACAGTAGTACTAACCACAAGCAAGAAAGACTATGCACGTACTAAACTATGACTATCATCTTAGCAGTGACAGGAAACACAGAAGTCTTCACAAGCCATTCTGTGAAACAGGTTTTCTGAACACGGACATGTAGAAAGCTGAAAAGAAATCACATCAATAATGTACCACATATTACTTAAATAATGACTGTCTACTGGATTAAGTTTGTTAAATTATTTATGATTTTCTTTAACAATGGTGGCAGTAGCTCAAACTCTACACCATCAGCTGCTTCCATCTTCAGAGCTGAAGAGTGCACCAAGCAAGCAAAGCAGTCCCTATTTGCTGTGTGGCTGTTTAGCTTACCCTTCGACCCTCAAGATGGAGACAGCATATCCTTCCAAAACTCTGGTAAACTTCTACCCGATTACATGATGTCATATCCCGGAAGTTACCATGATGGAAATCTCAAATATATAGCAACAATGCCTATCGCAATTTAAGAACCATTTACAAACAAAATTAAACCTCAAATTTATACATGAACCAATGGAGTACTTAGTTACAAAAAAATAAATGATAACATACTATAATTAACTAGTATTATTCAGGAACAGAGACTATGACATCCCATGGCACTACTAGCTTGGTGGCCAGATTTTAGATTGGAAGCAAATTGCATTAGTATTAAAAAAAAGTGCAATGTGTGGCCAGCTGGATTACAGGCATGCACAGATGAAACAGTGAAACACCTGACTGATGCACATCAAATTGCACAACTCCCATTTTAGTGCGAATGAAATTCTAAAGCATACTAAACAGATTTAACTTCATAATTCTAGCCATGAATCTGAATTCTGTCAAAATCAAAACTCCCTGGTAGTACAACCGTAACATTCGTCATGCCAATATTATTCTGGATATAACTATGCTGCTTGATAAAGAATATTCAATTTGAGGCTATCTTGTTACATAAATATATCTGATATTTATTGCAAAGTAAATCTTATGTTTTTAGTAAATTAATGAACCTGATCACTGCATACATGACACGTTACAATGGCATGAATGGTATTCTCTGGTAAATTGATAAATGAAATATCATGGATTTATTATAATCTGAAGCACACTGTCCGCTGTGTGACCGACCATCTATGGTACAGTGGAAGATCCTACCATCTAATTATTGACTGCACAAGGAGGAGCCATTACACACTTGTGTCAAAACCTGTGAATGAGGATACACAAAAATCCAAAGTAATATTGAAAAGGGTGCAGGTTTAGGTACAGGAAATCAAGTTACAAATGGGTCACGCTATAAAGTTTTTTCTGAAGTCATTTATTTGAAATTCACAACTCAATTTACAACACACATAGTGCTATAAAGGGTAGTTAAATTACCATGACAGCGCATAGTAGCTTTTTCTAATCCACAATTAAACTGAAATATACTAAGAATGAATAGCAGGAGCATGACTTCCATAATACTGCCCATAATGAACCATCCTCCAGTTCCTCTTCTGAAAATTTTATACTTATATATACAAAATTAAGAAGAAAAATTACATAAATCAAATGACTTCAGAGGATAAGTCGATATTCTAAGAAGAAAACCACACAACAATTTGTCAATATTTTCAGTGGGATCTAACCCGCATGTTTCTTTCACCACAGGAAGAACACCAGGAAATCAATTTATGGAGCATGATAAGACTATTTTATAATTAACTGATACAAAATAGCTCCTTCTGGATTTGAAATATTTCAGATTTAAATTAAACAATGGATGCTACTTACCCAAAGATCAATATGTAAAGCATGCAACACGAAGTCTCTAGAACACTTATTACTAACACATAACACAGGAAACACTCACAAAGAACAGCAGCAATACTAAGGAGCTATACTTAAAACGAAATAGGCAAAACACTTTTACTGAAGAACGGTAGAAGGTTATTGACAGGATTGGGCAATCCTAGGAAATTTCAAAGATGGAAAAGAAAGTGGTATGTTCATGTTATGGAACACATGAAATCCTTTGGCCTATAATAGACACTTCTACTGCCAGCTGGGAAGTCAGCGTGATAGGATAATGTCGTAATCACGCAAATCGAACAAGTGTAACAGCAGAGTCTGTACTTCTGTGTTTGAACTCACCTAAACTTTGTCATCTGCCTTTCATACAGTTCTGACCAATGGATGATGGGATGCATTATATAGGAAGTTGCAATTTTACCAAATCCAATGAAACCATATATGGAAACTATACCAATCCATCCCAAACTGCAAATCAATAAAATATCTTATGTGATCTGAAGCTTAACAAAATATTTCATATTACAGCACTATAATGTACAGAGATGAAGTGAGAGGAAGTTGGAGAAAACTGCATAATGAGGAGCTTCATAACTTGTACTCTTCTCCAAGTATAATTAGAATGATCAAGTCACGGAGGATGAAGTGGGCATGGCATGTAGCACGAATGGGGGAGATGAGGAATGCGTATAGGATATTGGTGGGAAAGCCAGAAGGAAACAGACCACTGGGAAGACCAAGGCATAGGTGGCTGGACAATATTAAAATGGATCTTAGAGGGACAGGATGAGACGGTATGGATTGGACTGATCTGGCTCAGGATAGGGACCAGTGGAGGGCTCTTGTGAACATGGTAATGACCCTTCGGGTTTCATAAAACGCTGGGAAACTCTTGAGTAGCTGCAGAATTGGCGGCTCCTCCAGAAGGGCTCAGCTCCATGAGTAAGTAAGATAATGTGTGGAACATCCAACACATAATAAAAAAAACAGGACTGATATTGTTCAGCATAACTGACAATATTAATGTTGTATTAATGATTATATGACTGCATTTTTGTCACCAGGATTCAGTTTCAATGTCACGGTGTGTTACTGTTTGCCAAAAACATGGCTTATGAATCAACATTATATTTTTGTGAGAATGGAGAGAGATGGTACCGACAGTTACAAAATGTTACAGTACATTTATGGAGAAAGAGAAATGACTAGAACACAGATATGTGCTGGGTGATCAAGAGAGGCAAAGATATTAAAGATCTCATCTCTCTGACAACTTAAGACTGAACCAAATGTGGAAGTATTAATAACTAAGCGCATATAACCATTGAAAGATAATAGAAGAGATGAGCATGAACACAGAATAAGACTTATTTGGACTTGAGATTGAAACATGCAGAAAGTCTCTAACAAAATGGCACCTAAAGATTGTAGTGGTGTATAAAAGTAATGAGACAAGAAAATCTGCCCATACCCTCCACCAACACTGACCTTTCTGAAAGGTTAGCAATTGCTGACAAGGTTTGTGTTTTCCAGTTGACCCCAAAACAAAATAAGGCCAAAATGATGCTGGGCAGCTTTCTTAATATCAAAGATATTTTTTTCAGTGCAGATTTTGTTCCTCCAAAAATAGCTTTTGGAACATTTATAGCAGTANAACACTGACGGCAGACTGATTTCTAGTCAAAGCCAAATGCCAATGTAGATGCATCCACTGCAATTGCCAGATCTGACTCCATGTAACTTCCTGAAGTTCCAAAGCTAAAAATCTCATTTCCAGTTACTTCAAGACATCATAACAATGCTGCAACAAAGCTGAAAGAGCCTTGGGAAAATTATTTGCAGCAACATTTCTAACATGATAAAAGCGAGAAAATATGCATGAAGTAGGACACAGTATTCTCAAGGTGGCTTCCCCCAATAAAGGTTATTTTCTGTATGCTCATTTTTTGTCAGATTTGGTCAGGTAATTTAATGGTTAGAACTCATGTATTATTGTTACCTACTTAATATAAGATTCTACACTCTGAAGATTACAAGTATGTAACACAGCTGTATCAATGGCATGGAATGTTCAAAACAGAATATTGCATTTCAGACATGTTATTATTTCTGCAGTGTTATCATGTGCTGTATTCATGTAATACAACTGCCCAGTGACAAAATATGAATACTGTATCACAGCGCATTCCCCTCTCGTACAGAGGCTGAAATATACCATAGATGACTGAAACTATTCAGTGAAATTTTCTAGGAAGAGAACCATGAACTTGTGCAATTTCATTTCAACTGAAAAATAATGAGACCCAGTTTATTTGTAGGCCTAAGAAAAGTCTTCAATGCTTATTATATCCCACAAAAAACTCAAATTATTTTCAAATGGCAGCCATTTCAAGAAATCATATTAAAGTAACCAAAGCAGGAACAGGAAAAGACAATGCCTTTAGAACATTTTATTTGCAAGTTAATTTTTACTCACTTTGTATATGTGATATAGGTGTAAAACAAAACCACAAAAGGCAGTGTAATTATTTCTGCAATAACTTCACTATATTGTGTGCAGAACTTCTCCACATCTTGTGTGATAATTTCATCTCTGTAATATAATAAGAATTATAATTATTATTCATTTGAATAAAGGTATATTTAGCATAGGATTAATTTCATATGAAAATTATAAATAATATTTTAATGGCACATACGCATTGTGAACCTTGTGTCCATGCATGCAGAGTTTGTAGTAATGGGCATGCATGAAGTACATGCGGTGCAGAAAGTGATACAAACACCGACACCAGCCAACTTTCAACTGTTGTTGAACAAACCAACGAACCCCCTTCACCTGTTAAGTCAAGCAGTACTGTCAAATGTTGCAATGACAGCATGATAAACCACAATAGCTCAGTATAATTATTTTATTTCCAAAATATCTGATGTACTTTAAGCTATTCTTAGGATAAAATAAATTACTAAGTCAACAAAATATTGTAATTCATCAATACTATATTGTAGCTTGTTTTCTCGAAGCAAGAACTGTGAAGCCAGCAGACAGCCATTGCTAGGGAACAACTCTGCAAACACAGCCACTGCTAGTCAACAGCTTTATAAGTATACAACAATACCAGAAAAATCACTAAGCAATGTGCCTATTCAACAGCGGAGGAACTGTTGGAAGGGGTGTTCTCTGTGAAGTCATCAAGAGTTTTGAGATGGTAGATAGAAAAGTAGGAGGATGGCGTGAGATGGCTGCCAGCCACTGAGGACATGAGCCTGGAAGCAGAGGAATGTCCATTGTCAGAAGACGTCACCAAGCAGAGCACTGAAGGTTGTGACTGAGAACACTAGTCTTTATGTAAGTGTGATTTGTAAAGCGTAGTTACAACCTGTGTGTAAAAGTGTCCAAAAAATCTGATTACCAATCCAAACTTGGCTTATAGTCACACACATGAGAACTGGTGTCAGAAGTGGAACTGGATATTTGATGGCACTGTGTAATTATATCGCCACACTAAAAAGATGGAACTAACAACTGTAATGCCTGCTGGCCAAAATGAATATCATGCAAAAAATGACACCACACTTAAATAAGAACCAACAAAGGATGGAAGCAAAGACAGAGGCCAGTAACGAGGAGGTTGAGTTCATTCGAGAAAATATGTGGACCAGTGAAGAAGAGATGAAAGACAGCCAGAAACAAATGAAATCAAAGACAGGTGCTTTTGTCTCCTGGATGGATGGTCACCAAGTCCAGAGAGAAGGTAGAAATGAGCAGTGGATGGCTGCAGTGAAAGCCAATCAAGAAACGATGGAAACCCTAATGGATGTCAGTCTAAAGACAATGGAGGACTGCCTAGAAAACATTGAGGCAAATCACACAAAAGTAGAAATCATGATGGAAGCATATCTGGAAAATATGGAAGGGAAGGCTATCGGAGCACCGACTGTATTGAGAGATCTTACAGCACACACAGGAACAATAAATAAACAAATAAATAAAACCACATGGAAGATCTAGGCACTGACTGAAGGATACTGCTGAAACAAGACTACATGCACAGACTATGAAGGTGTGAACTAACTTAAAATCGTTTAGGATAGGTTCTAGCATAAGAATGAACCTTTGGGTTCTCTATTGTTCTTGATATTGTCTATGTGTAGTATGTGAGTGTTTGCACAAGATATTAATTGCCTTCATCTGTTTCTTTAGGAATCACACAAAATATGCTAGTCTGTTTTACACCCTTCTCAAAGCTATGGATTATAATTTTGGTTTGTGTTTGTCAGCATTTTCTTATGTTAAAAGTGTTCCACAAATGAAGATGTTCTGTAATACAAATCTAGATTATTCAGGGTAGTACATAAAACCAGATGAAACTCTTCTGGGATATTTCATCATGTAGTCCAAAGGAACAGAACTAACATTATGAAGAAACATATCGCTCCATCTTCAGGGCTGAGAGAAAATGAAAATCTCCAAAGACACCACCATGAAAACTTCAAATCCATCAACATGTCAAAATCTCTCCTTATGACAGTGTCTTGTATCATCGTCAACTCCTGATACTTCAGAATATAAATTTAGTTCATATAAATAAATCAGAATATAAGTCTGAACTTACCACCGCAACTGCAAAAATTAATGAAACTGCTAAAATCAACACTCCATAAAAACTTCTTACATCATTTTGTCCAATAACATTGTAGAACTGGCTTGGAACAAGACCAATATAGTAAACTGCACACTGTTCTGAAAAAAATCACAGCTGTGAGGTTAATGTGTATACAGATAGTGGTTTTCTCACAGTAATAGTACTGGTACCTTTTACAGAAATAAAATTAAATATGTTCCTAGAAAAGAGTTACACACAGATCCCAGAATATACTGTCCATTCTAAATTTCATGAAAACTGGGCAAACTGGTACAAAAGTTGACGTAGGGATACACAAAAGTAACAGTAGCCATTACTGCTTACTGCTCATAATGACTCAGGTCATTTTCTGTATGAATGGGGTGAATGCAAATACAATAACTGAAAACTGAACCATTTTGAACAATTTTGGTAACTGACAAAATTTTCAGACTACTGACATACAATAAAATAATAATCATATAAACTGCCACTGAACAGCTTAAATACTTCAAAACTTACCTAGGAATAAAACTGGTAACAAAAAACAGAACAAAGCAAGTGAAATTTGATTTGTCTTTGAAAAGATCACTTGATTCAAATGTGCAAACTGACGTATGGACGAACAAATTCCCAATCCTGTGTCTGTATTCCTAAATTCTTCGTCCATATTTAATACTGAAAATATCTGAAACAGAATCATGCACATGTCCATACCGCAAAAATATTATGCATCAGATAAGACTTGTGTTCACTTCTGGGTGATACTTTCTTGTGTTTGGCTCGTTTGCCAATGAGAAATTTTCAGTCTTCAGGGATTACTGGAGTCTGCTAATTTCTCTGAAAATAGTCCACCAGAACACAAGAATACAAAGAAATAGAAACATTGATCTCATCATTACTTCAAAAGCATAAAGTCTTGCATCAGCCAGCTGTAAAGCTGTTGGCCAAATATAAACTCAAACAAACTAGTCTGGAAAGGACATAAGTTGACATTTAATCATATTCTCATTCATAAACTAAATAATGCCACTATGAGAAATTTATGGTACTGAAGGTGCATAAAGTTGAAATTCCACGATTCTGAAAACATACATATTCATTCACCTAGTTATAAATATAAACAGTTTAAGAAAAGCAACCCATGTGAATCCTGTGGCATGCCTTCACATCAGAATGTTTTCACGGTAAGTCAATATTCCAAATGGCCATTACCCATGAGAATTCATCGTTAATATTCTGTACGTATTTCTCATCATCCACAGTCCCTTCAGAAGTTTAAAACTTAATCATTAGAACCACATCATATTTTACCAAAAAGCTAATTTATTCTCTACTTCAAACATAGTGGGGGCTACGCTACAAGCTGGAAAGTCGCGGGTTCAGTGGATTTTTTCAATCGACCTAATCCTTCCAGGCACAGTATGGCCCTCAGGTTGCCTCAGTCTGTAACAGAAATTAGTACCAGGAATTAATTAAATAATTAAATTAAAGCGCAGCCTGGGCGTAAGGCTCACAACCTTACCGCCATATTTCAGCCTATTGTCTAGATAATGTGGGACCCTCAACGTTCCACAACTCTATGGGTTTTCATGGCCTGTTACAGGGATAGCTTTACTCTTCTCTTTTACTTCAAACACAGTGGAATTGAATATATGAAGAAAATTACGGAACAAGGAGACTATTCCCCTATTCTTCAACATGTAGAGAAAATTTCGTGACTGTCTACTCTAGGACGTACTCCTTCCATTCCATGCAAAGTAAATCACAAATAAACCTTCCTGCATAAATGACGGCTAGCGTGATTTGCAGCAAAAATCGTAACCTTTTCCTCCATTTCTTAACGCAGGTCAGTAAATGTAAACACCAATTCAAAAACAACTATGTTCTATATCCTATGGTTTGTAACCAGTTTTGTTGGATCTTCTGGAACTCGAAATAAATTACAATTACAATTACTTCGGTAGCTACAATAATTTGGGCTGGGTATATTAGTCTTTAGGAGTAGTGGTTACCGTACATATCACCTGTTTTAACATTACGCACTCTGCAGTTGGCCCTCATTATTCGTGGCCAGTATAATTCTCATTCTAACTGCGATTATTTATCTAAACCAAATTTTTCCACATTACTCGTATTGCGAGATTCGAATAATCGTCAATACCCCATTCAATGAAGAGAAGGTGGTATAGGTTATGTCAATTTGTTTCAGCATACATGCGAATGAATCAAACACATACACTTCCCTTATAGCTAAGACGTTTGTTAAGGCAGCAACATATATCCCATTTTCACAACCTTTCTTTTTTCCAGCTTGATGGACTAAATTACCGTCAAAATCTTACTTCCGTGAATCACACCGGGCCACAGCACCGCATTACTTCCCGCTACCTCATTTCCAAACTCACTCAAAACGCGCTCCTCTCTAATGGTTGCGGTCGTTCATGAAGGTCGTGAACGGAACTTAGTTAGTTAGTTATTGGAAAGGGTGGGTTTCCCCATGCACTTAGACCTGTAGCAGTCCATTGTGCTTCCCTCTATGATTTCTACCAGTCTCTATATCCTACCGGTATTGGTGCTTACCATCAGTCCCGCCCAGCCAGCGAGACCGGCTCTACTAGCTGAGAGGTATCTATCTATAATGCTTCCCCCATCTACCAGAGGTATTAGTGATTGCTGTTGGGAGGGGAAACGTCCGCAATTTTGGCCCAGTGACCTCCTTTGGAGGTATGAGGTTCTTTTATGTGCCGTAAAGCTACGACACGGGACCTACGGCTTAAAGTCCCTCCCGGAGGACTTGTTCACTGAATTTTTCTGCCCTTAAAAATTCGACTACCTCCGCCGGGTATTTGAACCCGCGTGCTACGAGTCATGAGGTGGGAACGTTACCTCTAGACTATGGAGGCTGCTATGAATGGAACTTACTATCTGTTACTATCACTTGCGGTTACGTGACGCCGTGAGTGGCGTTATCGACCTCCACTTCCTGCTCCAGCACGAAAGTCGAATCATGGTCCTGTTGTGGGTATACCTGGGTAATATGTTAGGGGCCATATAAGCCCTGGACTTCAGATAGCATCTTTCTGTAAATGAATTAGGCGAAGTAGTAGTTGAATGGGTGTTCCTCCTATAATGTGCAGGCCATCATCTTCAAAACTACCATAAGCTCTTGATAGTGTTGATGCGGCTTTGAGCCTCTGCATCCCGGAAGGTGACAGAATGGCTGTCAGGCCATGGAAACTGTTAGACTGAAGACAGTCATACCCCTTTCAGCAGTCATGAGCAGACTGTAGTGCCTGCGTCTTTCTTGAAAGGCGCCAGGTATTCTATATAATTTTCAGGAAACATTTGCTGGTCAGCCCCACAGAAGACCCACTGGCCTTCAACTCTCCCGCCCCTTGTACTTGCAGTGGTATTCATATTCATATTCATATTCATATTTATTTCAAGTTCAGTTGATCCATACATGAGTTGAAAGTACAAACTGTTGGATATAGAACGTGTCACAAAGTAAATACTAGTCTAAGTTCCCAATCATTGGAACAGAGTCAAAATACCCGATAAGAACGATATATGATACAGTACACACATTATTAAAATTTCATTTAAATACAATCATATATAACTGTTATTCGTTGACTTCGACCACCTGTCGTGGCCCTCCAGTCCTCCCATTTTTTCAATGATGCTGGGGCAAACTTCCCTGCGGAAATTATCCCAGTTGATGATGATTTGTTAGTTCACTGAAAGTTCTTGACACACAATGTGTTAAGGGCATTACAGTGCCTTGAAGTCCATAAGCAGGACTACCTTGTTAACAGTCAAATGTGACCAAACTAAGTGTCCTTCTGTAGATTTCTGACCATGTGGTACCTCTCATTAATTGCTTCAGTAAGGTACTCCCAAATGTACCCACTGCTCCTGTAGGAACATAACAGTAATTGTGTATACCTGCTACAGTCAGGGTATTGATATTGTCATGTGTTAGCCTAGACATGGGGTTTCGATTGGTAATTCATTACTCGATGTAAGTTGTAACTATAGCCAACTATAACCTTTCCATGGATCTGCACTCTACAGATCACTGCAACTCCAGCGCACATAAGATCTTTGTCTTCACCAGTGGGTTCCTTGGTAACAGATCTTCTGCTCATGTCATTGGATGACAGCTGGCTTGCAACTCATGACTGCAACTGACTCAACTAACCAATGGCTGAAACTATTGGCATCACTAGCCGTCCATATCTACTCCCTGGCCATTCTGCCTCTCAACTGTGTTGTCTCTGACTGTCATTAACTGATGGCCTGGTCTGGTCTTACTGTGCCACTGCTTAGCAATGGATGATGTCTCCTGTTAAGCTGTCATGTCACAATATCATTGGCCCAAGTGTGTCATAAAACTTCCAACTTATCATCATATATGAGAAACAAATGACAGACATCACTTGAGTCTGTAGCATATACTGATTCCCTACAGTGTGCCATGGCTTACTGATGTCTCAGCTTAAGTACCACCTCTGCATGTTCCAAGACACACGTATCACTAAGCCCATTACTGAAGCCTGTGGGCATAACATAAGGTGCTAAAAACTGGAACAGGAAGCAAGAGGCATCAATGTAAGTACAGTGTATCCCCCTTCATTAAGATAAACAAAGAACAATTTATGGAAACCTCAAGTAAGGCATGGTTGTAATTATTGCCCACACGCCTGCCAACCTGTAAGCCAATGCCTAACAGCATAAGGAGCCCTCAGGGGGATAACCAGGCATCTGCCACTTGGATTCTGGTTGGGGGGGAATCAAAATCGAAAAACTGAAGGATGTATACCAAACATTAATAATAAAAATTAGAAGTATTTTTTATATTATTCTTATATCCTGAATATTCTTGGGTGATCAACAAAAATAGTCTTAAATGGCTTAAGTATAAGAGTAAGCAACTTTCTGGCTAACTCTCTAGAAAGAATCCTGGCAGCACCCATGTACATTATCAGTGAATGACATGGTCTTCTGGGTTGTAACGTCTTATAATTCAGACAGCCAACCCTTTCGGAAGGACAGGCCGCTTCCATCTTCTGGGTCGAAGAGTAAGCTGTGCACGAAACCAGCAGAAGCAGTAGACAAGATGGGCAGATAGTGTTTTCAAAATTCCTAGATGGGCAGGGGTTACTGAGGAAGTAAAACTAATCTGTGGAAAGTAAATGAGCGATGATTTCAAGAGTTCTATCTTTTGGGATATGAGGTCCTACAGTCCATTGAAAGTCAACTGGCGTTTTGGAAGAACATATCTTCTCCATCTTCAGGGTTGAAGAATAATCCACACAAGGAACCAGCACCCTTATGTTGGCATATTTAGGGGTTAAAATTCTTTGTGAAGCAGTGCTTCTTAAAATTTATGTTGGCATTGAATTTTAGTAACTTCCTCTTCACATTCACATATCTGTAATGCTTTTTGCTCCACTAACATGCACAAACATGAACTGGTACATCAGACTGGATGAAGAGATAAACACAGTTCATTACATATTTCAAACATCAATTTTATTAAAATAGTTAATAAAGTTACAGCACTGCTATGTGGCAAATTTTAACATCTCTTATATAGTTTTATTTATACCATATAGGATTTTTTTTATTTTCAGTTTATTCACATCTTATAAATGAGTGGATAGACACTCTCGTCCATACCGCGTCACCTTCTATATAAGTGGAACTTCCTTTACATATCTCATTTCGGAAATGTCTGACAATGGTGCATAATTATCACCAAAACATGTAATTAATTTCTTTTCAATTCACTTAGTGGGGGTGGAGTCCAACTGGGTCCACTCGGCACGGCCGCCACTGATTGGCCTATTGTAGCCTGCCCCGGGTGATTATGATGATGGAGAATTTGGTGGAATTAAGAATGGCAGGGGAAACCAAAGTACTTGGAGAAAACCCGCCCCAGCGCCACTTTGTCCACCACAAATCCCACTTGACCAGACCCAGGATTCAACCCGGGCCGCCACGGTGGGAAGCCAGCGACTAACCGCTTGAGCTATGGCGCGGCCTTATAAAGCTGTTGCAAAACTAACATATTTAACAAATTACATTTGTCTATTCAACACAAACAAATGTACCAATTCAAACAACAGACCGCCCCCAATTTTATGCTTTTTCATTTTTTGCCATCAATAATATCAACACAGCAGCCATGTGAATTTATGGGGTAGGATCCTGAAATTCTTCCAGAAATATTAAATTTTGGTTAAGGTAAGTTATGAGGAACTGGAATAGTGCAGTCAGTACAGAGACAGGTTACGGGCTGGATGACCAAGAGGTTGGAGTTCGAGTCCCGGTACAGTCAAGAATTTTCCCTTCTCCATGTCATCCAGACTGGCTCTGGGGCTCACCCAGCCTCCTATCCAATGGGTGTTGAGGGCTCTTTCCCCAGGGGTAAAGTGGCAAGGGCATGAAGCTGACCACTCACCTCCATCTAGTGCCGAGGTCAAGAAAATGTGGATCTATACATCCATTACCTCATACACCTTCATGGCGTAGTGCTTAATTAGTTAAGCACAGGAAAAACGTTACCATTTTTTAAAGGTGAGTTATAGTGGCTCTTTTCAATTTAAGAAAGATATTCTTGAAATTCATCCAAGAGACTTTCACTGAAAGTTCGTTTCATCTGCAGCCATATTTATCCATATCAGAGAGTTCAATAAGGAATTTAATAAGACCATGAATGGATTTTCCCGTGTATCCCATAAATTGTTTCACAGATTCTACTGGAATTTGATACTGAAGACATTGATCAGAAGTTGTTTAGCATTCTGATTTTCAGCCATATATATCTATAACGCAGCACAGTTTACATATGGCCACAAATGGACTTTACCTTGTGCTCTGTACACCTTTTCACTGGTATTGTTGAAGTTCAATATTGGGAAATTCTGACTCCATGCCATATAACTTATAGCAAAGCCTAAGTTTACATAAGTTTATAAACAGACTTTTCCATGTATCCCATATGTTACTGAAATTCCATGTAGGAGGCTTTCACTGAAAGTTACTGGGCAATTCAATTTTCAAACATACTGATCCAAAAAATAAATTAATTAATAAAGCTTACTTACATACAGTAAGGCCATAAATGGTCTTTTCCATGTATCCCACAGATTTTGTCAAAATTTAATATGTAAGTCTTCCACAATTAAGTGTACAATCATTTTATTTGGGAGGGGGGATTTGTGAACAAATCTTGTTTGTCTCTGCATGACTATTTGCATTCAGCAGCTTCAATGAGGATGCAGAATTTGCTACACGGCTGAATCTACATAGCTATTGCACTGGTAAAATGATTGGAGGACAAGAATAAAAATTCCAGAGAAAAATGCATACAATTTTTTCACTGTCAAATTTACCACATTTTTATCCCAATGATCAAATGTCTATTTTAGTAACAGTCAACCACATGTTTTACTAATCATCATTCATAGTAACAAAGAAACGAACCTGTCATTATTCATGCTTATTTTGAAAAATAAGGTTCTATACATTAAATTACATATCTTGATACAATACTGTTAACCAGTTTCCACTATGTGCATACTCTTTATTGTAGGAATACAATTGTACAGTATTCAGTTTCGCCATAAAAATCATACTGCAGATTACTGAATTTTCTTTTTTCTTTTTTGCTTCTGATGTAAACACAACAATATTGCAATAGTCTATATGGATGATTTCTCATTTTTGAGCCATCTGGTTTTCATTTTGTGCTGACACTGTCTTGTGTAGGCCTTGCTGTGTGTCCCCACATTCATTATAGGTGAACTATCCTAGAATTCAATTTCTATTTTATCTACCTTTCTGTTTCTCATATTTAAGTCATAATGTGTTATTCTGTATTGAGTTAAATAATATTAATTTCACAAAACAGTTATACAGACAAGGAATCTACTCCATGTTGAACTTAAAATACAATACTTCAGTCTGGCAGCTGAAAACATTTTTTAAATTGATCACTATAATTTACATAAAAAGACTGTTATTTATTAAAAATATTTTTATAGGCATTCACTACTGTGCTACACCAATGAAATTACATTACCAGTGCTAACCCAATGCATGAATTATTAACATCAATTATCTGTTATACCATATAAAAAGTTACAGGAATCTAAAATAAGAAAATGAAATTGAGAAATAAGTACTCTCAGACAAGTGAGGAACAGATTCCTCAACATCCCTCCTCATGACCCCTCAATCTCTTAGGACATCCATTTCCTATATATTTATCACACCAAGAAACCCATATGTCTTCTTGCATGCATGTCCAGTTCAGTGAACATACAAAACAAATACAGTGGTTTAATTTTAAGCACCATAGTATATGTAACCCAACTCCCCAGCAGTTTGTGTAGAAGTCACTCACTACTCAGCCAGTGATGTACTGACTGATATCCATACATACAAACACACGTACACACATATTCTAGGACATGTGGTCATACAAACCCTCTTGAATAGTACTGTTTCAGAACTATTATGTTACTCTAACAGCAATCACACGGCACAATATACTATCAGACAAAGTCTCATTCAACCCAGGAGTCTGGTTTAACTGTCTTCTTTGGAGTTATTTTTTTCCGGAACCACCCTGCCAATCAGAGAAGAAAGTACATATTAAACACACATTATATTACTTGATTGAAATTTTATTTGAAGGCAAGGAAGTAATTAGAGTGCATACTTAATAGAATATTTTAGCTCCCGAGGCCATGCATGACAACCTGCCAGAACCTATATCTTGGGGGGGGGGACATAAGCCATTTGACAGTCAACTAAATAACTACACAAAATATGTGCTTGTAGTATCATCTGTAGGATTTTCGGCAAACTAATTATATCTTTTAAGTCCACGAAAATAATAATTTTGCAGGCCGGAGATTTTGTTAATTATCTGCCAAACAGTACCACTTTAGTGTGACGAGAGTATCTTTATTATTATAAAAACCAAACATGGACATCTTTCGTGTTATTAGTTGTACTGATGTACTACAAACTTGAGGTTCTTCTGAATACTGCTGACAGACCTAAACACGTCACAAAAATTTCTTTAAGTTATTGTATGTGTTGTTCTCTCAGTGAAGAAACCAGAGTGACATACCTGATACTATCTCTTCTTCCACATATTTTGCAGGCCTTATGTGCTGAACCTTACAGTTTCTACTTCACACACATACAAAGGCAGAACCAAAAAGTATCTAAGTTCCAAACCTTTTCCTGTCTTGTACTTTCTAGACTATACTTATATTTTATCCCATATCTGAACAGATTAATTATTTTATTTGGGGTAATGTGAGAGGGCAGGGAAGGATGCATGAATAATTGAAAACATTTTAAAAGCTCTGTTTCAAACAGTTTTAGCAAAAACAAAGGTTTTGGTACTTACTGTAGTATGCTCAATAGAACATTATTTCAAACATTGTTCTATTCACAACTCTATCAATTACACAATAAATAATCTAGGCTACTGACAACATCACTGAGTAAACTACAAATACAGAAACATAAGCAATTTAAAGAAATGCACATTATACGCCACTCAATGTGACTTGCTTCATTCCAGAACTAAGAATGAACCTAGAGTTCATAAAGATCTTAAATTTATTTCAACAAGAAACACAGACAGTGTAACAACTACAATTAAAACATGTGTCAGCACCCCTCACTTCAAATACAGATAAATAGTGAACATTTCAGCATTCTGTATACCTGAAAGTTTAAAACCATAATGAATGAAGAATTAAATTTCCATGCAAAAGATTTGATTCTCCATGCAGAATATGACAAAACATTCAATAAGTTGGAAATAAACCAAGGACCATACGTGCAACAACTGATCATACACCTCATTCAAGCTTTTCCCAAATTACCAAATAGCAAAGGTGAATCAGAAACATAGTCATACTCCCATTTAGAATGGAATTTTATGAAATTATTAACTGAACATTTTCAGAATGATTCAATTGGAATTTCTAAAGACATATAGGTGTTGTTAATACATTTAGAGTAAAACAGGAAAGTATGAGGCAACAGAAAGTGCAAAATATTCTTACATGAAGAAGGAATTCAGATTTGCAATTAGTTCATAATTTCCTGGCAGCCTTTATTAAAACTTAAGGAATCGCTTTTTATCTTAATCCCAATGCTCACAAACAGTAAGAACTGAAGTACTAAGGCAATGAAAAATTAAGGAAGCTGTGTACCACCCCATTCAAGAAGAGAAATAGATAATTACTTTTATAAATGTAATTTCTACCTTTTAGCTTGATATGTTTATATGTGAACATGAGCCTTATTTCTGGTTCCAATTTCTTTACTTAAAAGTTGAACTTGTCATGTCAGTACCAGTAACAGAATGCAAATAATGAAAATACACTTAAGGAAGCACATCAACTAATCCCCAATATGAAACTGGAGTAAATTACATCCTGAATGAAATGAGAATAGGAAAACCTAGCAAGATCAAAAGATATATTCAAGGAATAACCAGTGTTTATCTTCTGTACTAATTTACTTCACTAGCAAGGACAGAGTGAGACTTGGTCAGGAACTTCAACAAAAATGGGATTAATGGAAAGCAGATGGAAAACAGAGACTCGTGTCTTGCCCTTTTATCCAATGGGCCTTAGTTGCCTAAATATGGACTTCATTATGAATATGAGCTGCTGCCAACACACACTTGGATTTCTTTCATGACAGACATTCTTCAGTACCTGATGTCACTGATTCTGAAATCTTTCTGTTTCTAGCAGTTGTCACTCAAATGGGACACAACACATGACCATCTGAAAAACTGATTGACTGCTGAACAGTTGTTTGCACCCTTTTACGGCAAATCAATAAGATGTGACAGATTCATTCACATGCTTAGATTTCTCCGCCTTTCCAACAATGACAACATTCTTCATAATAATGATCCCAAATATGAGAAACAATGAAAACTGAGACATATTTTCAACTTTCCGAATCCAAAATACTCAAAATATTACACCCTTTTCAAGGGGAGGATAATTAAAAAAGAATGCATATCCAAGGGACATATGTGTTTCAGAATACCTTATAAATTGTGTTACATGTCGAGGTGCATTTATGACATGGATGTCTACACAGGGAAGAACAGGACATGTATTACAGTAGATGCGATAGCAACATATGCAACTCAAAAAACTGACAGAAAGTTAGAGGGACATCGATGTAAGCTATATATGGACAATTCATTTTTGTAGCCTGGCTTATCCAACAACCCAAGAAAAAAATTCAACTGTTGCGGGGCAGTCCCACATGCAAGAGAAACAAATGTCACAGAGTTCTGCTTGCTGCCTATTTCTTGTTGGTTTCTCACTTGGCCTAAGCTTTGACCCTGACAATGGAGGCAGTATATTCCTCTGAAACATTAGTGAACATCTACCAGATTACACGGTGTTACATATGAGACAACAGTACTCTTCACAGGCTCTGTTTACTGCCTCCATCTTGCTGGTGGCATACTTGGCTTACATATTGGCCCTGAAGATGGAAGCAGTATGTTGGTCCAACACATCACTGGACTTCTACCATACTGCATAAAGTAACATCCCAGAAGGTAGTACTCTTCATATCCAAGAAAAAGTACCATAACATTTATTTTGCATGTTTCTTGCAGGGATACTAAGGGTAATACCAAGGAGACCAGCTTATGGTCTACCATGCTGAGAGCAAGTATTATGTAAAGATCAACATATGGTCGACCAATCTTGTAAAGGTTAACGACAGTGCTCACACTTCATATAAGTACCATATTCAATACCTACTATCATTTTCTTCACCCAAAGCAGTGAGCAAATACAAACATCATTTAGGTTGACATCATAAAATAAAAAATGATAAGTTCATGAACTGATATACAGTTTGCCAGGAAATGATAAGCCTCCACTGAGTACATTCAAGCACAATGTTATTTAAAGTTAATTTCACAAATTTTTTTACACACCATGTATGAAACTAATACATAACCAAAATTAAATCTGGACACATGTACATACAGTATATACATATATTACATACTGGGTAAAGGTGAGTATATGGGACTGAACTCACGACCTCTGCATTAAGAGTCAGCAGTGTTATCCCATCAGTTATTAGTCTTATATATTGAACAAGTTATCTTATATTGTTGCCATACCAAAGAGACAACTTTTAAAGCCTATATTTAAGAAATTATGGTCCACTGGATCAAGGGGCAAAATGTGTCTCTTTATTTATTTTCTGTATACTATCCACTGATACCATTTTCACTGAAATCCTCCAACACAAGTCTCATGCCCTCTCCTTGTAAATATTTGTCATGCTTTTACTATACTGAGGTAATATACATACATAACCTTGGTACTTTCATCACCCATTCCTACTGTCTACTTTCTAGCTGTATTGACAGAACAATTACCAAGGCCATAAAGGATGTTCAACTAATTATAAAGGTGCTGTTTTCATATGAGAAGAGAGCACTTCTCTAAAGTACCAGCATCCATAGTTACAATAGGAAGAGGGTGTAAGAAAAAGCAGAGAATGCAATAACAGTGTCGTGGGGTCTGAGAATGGGGTGGACTGCATTGCCTGGAATGTGTGCACCTCTTGAAATGTCTGGATTGCTCAAGAAGCTGCTCAGTTGACACCAAAGACTGAGGTCACCCAAAAACTTGCTAGATGCTTCTGACTGGGTGACATGCTTAAAACAATAGCAGTCAAGTTCTTGCAAGAGCTCAATGTAGTTCAGTGCAGTGCATGGCAGCTAGGTGAGTAGAGAGTACAGTCAGTCAGTTCAGTTAATGAGTGAATGAACAGTCAATTCCAGCTCACTTTCAATGAAGTTCAGAGAAGTCAGGAGAAGACCGGGGGGGGCAGTGTTGTGATCAGCGGTACTGCTGTGAATAACTGGACAAAGAATTAATCTCAAGAGCACAAGTGTTTATGGATGGTGGGAGAGAAACTGCTCCATAAATTGTTAATCCTTACAATATAACTGTGGCCTTTTTTAATTAACTTCATACTTCATGCTAAAGATGTGAAAAATTTGAATATGCAGCTCCTCATCCTTCATTTTCCTTGCAGTTGCAACAGTATTTATATACTTATGTTACCATCAGAAGGAAGTAGATGTAGACAGGGCTGCCAATTTTAAGTTTAATATTTTAGAATATCTCTTCACTGACATAAGGACCCAAATCAACAAGAATTTGTTATGTATTAAAAAGGGATTTATGTGACATATGTAACTGTTTCCCATTTCCAGACATATTTTAGCATTGCTGACAATGTCAAAGTTACCTGTAAACCTTCGCTGATTAGCAGAAGCTTCCCTAGTCGTCTGTTTAGGAAACAAGAAGACATAGTTAGGTAGAATACTGAGGTGGCAAGGTTGGTACAGAATAAATAATAAAACCATTACACTGTTACAGTTACATCAATTTAAAGGCCATGCAAAACATTTTGTGCTTGCTACTCACTGGGTGCTAATTGAAAAACGAAAATATTTTCAGATGCAAACAAATTATTGGTAGGAGGAAATTCCATTCCATTTCCTACCTTTTTCTTTTTAGTCTTGGGTCTTTTCTCCAACAGTGATGTTTCAGACAAAGGTTGTGGTGATGTGAAAAGGGACTGAAAGTTTGTCAAGCAAGTTAGTACATGGGGAATTGTAACAAGCTATTAGTAACTACTGTAACTACAGTTGCAAGACAAAAAGACGGATAAGACAGGCCAATTACACATTCAGTTCCCATGTGACAACAATGGGACTGTAAATAAAAGGGTACATTTCTTGGAACAACAACTTGTCTCTCAGTAAAGCGGCATATAGCTGGTAAGGTCAAAAGGTCTTAAATTTTGAACATTCCATGGCAATTTACATGGTACTAAATATAACTAGAGATATTCAGTGTTCTTCATATTCACTGTATTAAATGCTAACTGGACCATCAAATTAAAATATTTAAAAACCTGCACAGAAATAAAGCCCACGTGTTTCATTGTAAATTCATGCCATCATGAAGAGTGTATCCATACATTATCTATGATATAACATCATGTACAAATCACATTTTAAAATCATGCAGTCAAATTCAAAGTAATTAAAACCGTTTGATCTGATGAAAAGGTTGGAAGTTTTTGGTTATTTTATCCTTCTATCTAGGTTAATATGTCTCGACAGGTTTGCTGGCGTCTTGTTTCATGTTTTATCTTCAAGTTATAAGTGGATCACATTTTCTTCTTTGATCATACCTTATGCAGTTTTATAATCATGGTTCATCATGTATCAACTCTCCTTGATTTAGGATGACACTGTCAATTCATGACCAAACATGCAGAATTCACCGTAAAGTTTTAAGAGCTGTATGCGACAGTGTAATTATTAATAAATTAACCAGATATTAGGTTTCTATTATTTTCTGGCAATGACTTGTAATTTTATAGTTTACTTACATTTAATGGCCCATCTATCTCTACACTTTCATGCATATACTTCTCACATGTTCTAGAATCTGAAGGTTAATTTCCAAATGCACTTCAATATACTGTACAGCAGCCGTGTCAAACATGCGGCCCCCATAGCCACAAAGTGCGGCCCCTCAACTTTTAGAGCTAATTGATATTAAAATCAATATTAAAATTTTAGTAGAAATATTTTTTGTAAAGACAATTTTCCAACAGACCAGAAGACAAGAAGTCTCACACAGATATAAATTAGCAGGATGCAGGAAATTCAATGTTTTGCTATTTCTAACATAACTTCTTGTGTAATCTCTCTTTTTACATATTGAAAAGCTGTTTGATACTTGTCAAAAATGGCACTCTCTTGCTTTTTACAACTGTAAGATATGTGACTTCAGGTAATTATATTGAAATTATTCCTAAATAATAATTAGAATTAAATTTCCTTGTATCAAAATCTAATGTATATTTCTATTTTGAAGTGTGGCCCTGGACTATTATTTATAGGGCTGAGGTGGCCCTCTGTACAAATTGAGTTTGACATGCCTGCTGTACAGAATGACATAACTGATTTAGGATGGTCATGTACATACATAAACTAAACTAACTCCTTGAAGCTAAGCTCTTCTTGAGAAGCTACTAAACCACTTCCAAGCATTTCATGTAACCTGAAGGTTCATCACTGTGTTCACAAGAGCTCAACACTGATCCCTATCCTGAGCCAGATGGATCCAGTCCATACCACCTCATCTTGTATAAAATCCATTTTAATATTGTCCACCCACCTACATCTTGGTCTTCCCAGTGATCTCTTTCCTTCTGGCTTTCCCACCAATATCTTACATAATTACTCTGTCCCCATTTGTGCTACATGCCCTGCCCATCTCATCCTCCTTGACTTGATCATTCTAATTACACTTGGCAAAGAGTACAAGTTTTGAAGCTCCTTGTTATGCAGTTTTCTCCAACCTCCTGTCACTTCATCTCTCTTCAGTCCAAATATTCTCCTCAGCACCTTATTCTCAAACACCCTTGGTCTATGTTCTTCCTTTAATGTCAGAGACCAAGTTTCACACCCATACAGAACCCCATGCAAAATTATAGTTTTGCATATTCTAATTTTTATGTTTTTTAGACAGCAGATGGGAAGACAAAAGTTTCTGGACTGAAGGGTAGCAAGCAATACCCAAGTTCAGTCTCCTCTTAATTTCCTCCTACATCAAGTTTTGATTTGTTACTGTCATTCCTAGATACCTGAACTGTGCCAAATTTTTAAAACATCTGTTAGCTATCTTCGTGTCATTATTTTGCCCTGCATTCTGGTGATGAGACAGCAACATATACTTAGTCTTCTCTGTGTTTACTTCTAGACCAACTTCCTTACTAGGGTCAATTAAAGTTCTGTCTCCTCCATCTGGAACCTGAGGACACGCCATGCCATGGTGACAAGGGACCCACCTAACATGGCAGGTTCATACATATCTGTTCAAATATTATGTGCATGAGCTTACAGAAGGATCATGGGGAAATAATCATGTTTCTGGCTTGCAAAATGAGACTGCCCCCTTCCCACCTATTTATCCTATACCAAACACCATCAGCACCATGAACCACAAAGAAATAATCTCAGTGATATATATATATATATATATGATTTCTGTTTAATTAGCAAATTATGCCTCACAAGACGCTGTATGGAGAACAAAAACTGGAGACAGTAAATCTGACATTGGTAAAGCTCTGTTTCGAAGTGTTTTATTCATTATAAGACCGGTTTTTCATTTTCACACCAATTCTACTTACAATATATAATTAAAGCAACATGTGTCATGAGATGTACTTTTTTCTACAATAAAATAAAAAAAAATGACAGGGCAACACATTCTGCCAATAACATTTGTAAATGACTCTGCACAAAAATTGGGAAGTTTGGTGTTATCGAAAAAAATATTACAAACTATCAACCCAGACAAAGATGCTCTGGGAGATCCACAGAATGACTGAAAAAATTCTGCTTTGTAATACTTCCACCAGATTAACTAGGCAAAATATTAAGTGGACTCATAATTTTAAAACTACCTGACAAATGCAGTCAGTTCAATCAGTTACTATTGTAGTAGCAGAGCTGGAACATCACCAAGTGTTAATGTCAACAGTGGGTTTCAAATGGCATTTTCTATTCAGTTCTGTGATTTCTTCTCCACAATATATGTATTCTTGTTTGCATGTGAAATTAAAAGAGTACCTCATTAAGAGTTCAGTAGAACATAAATCTGTGAATAAGCTTTGTTCTGTATCGGTGAGGGTGGTTTTGTTATTAGGAAGTATACTCACATCAATTACCACACATAACAGGCAATTTGGCTAACTAATCAGTGGGCTGCATACTTCTAGTCCTTTGAATAAGCTGTCTGCATACTCGAAAGGACTGAAAACCTCTGGTTTAGGCAACATGTGAAATAAAAATATGAATTTTCGTTCTGTAAAAACGTTAAGTGTAGCAGCAAAATGAAATTATTTATTCATCCAACAAGCCTTTATCACATCAAATGAATAAATGTTATCATTTACATTTATATTTTGATGCACGCATTTTGATCTTCAGGGATCACCTTTGGTGTCTTATTGGTCTTGTGTGTGTGTGTGTGTGTGTGTGTGCGCGCGTGTGCATGTATGACAGAGACAGAATATGACCCCATGGGATATTACACAACAGTAACTGCTACAGCCACCACCTATCTGTAAGTGTGTGTATGTCAGTGTTGTGTAGTTATGTTAATCTGCATCTGAAGATGCATAAATAATTACTCATAACCAATGATTTGCACTGACAGGAACACTAGTAGCACACACTGTGAACTCTGAACCACTAGGAATAGAGTAAATTCATTCATCTCATATTCTGTCAGTCTTTCATGTATTTAAAGTCTCTGCTTATAGCTGTAACATATTCAAACAAAATTTACAACTTGTACATAATAAAATCATACATATACTCAAAAGCAGCACATGATACAGTCCAGGAGTGATGTTTAGTCGATCAATGACTGACATTAATTACTGACCTCAGTTATAGAAGGCTCAGGGGCAGGTCCATTGGTGGCTACATTGTGGTTCTGGTTCATCCCCTAAAGAAAAAAAAAGAACATCCTCTTACATACTGTAGTGTGTAGACCCATTACTAGGTAGTGACTGTGAAACAAACAGGTTCCCATGCCAACAAGATTGTGCGCAACAAAAGATGAACTGTTGGAAATGATGTTTTATACATGGTCTGTGCCAAGGGGTTATATAGCAAGGACACCAGCCGAGGAGTGAATTGAAAGGGAGTCTGTGAAGAGAAGACTAGCAGGTTGGTGCGAGACGGCCACCAGCCTGGGAGTTAGTTGAAGCACTGAGTCAGTTGTAAGGGTGCCTGTGAAGAGAAGACTTAATCGGTGTAGCTGGGAGCCAGCAGGCAATGAAGTGAGCATGGAAGGTGACGATTCTCCACAGTTAGAAGCTGTTAGCCGGAAATGACTAGTGGAGACTGCAACAGACTGAGAACACTAGTCTGTGTGTGATAATGATTTGTGAAGTGTAGTAGAGAGTTGTATAAGTGGTGAATAAATCTGATTACCAATATAAACCCCAACCATAGTCAAACTCATATGCATGACAATATACAGATATATGTTCTTATTGTTATAACTGATCCACATGACTGACTGCCAGAGCAAACTTCACTGTAAGGTTCAAACAGTGTTACAAATGAAGAATTTTCATGAAAACATGCAAATTTGTGACAATTTTAGAATTATGTAGTTCATCTATTTTGTACTTCCAGGGTCTTATGAATGGTAAATTTTCTCATAGAAAATTTGGTAACATGATACAATTTCCAATTTCATTTCTACTGTGCCACAAAACAAGATTACTTCTTTGATCCTAACACTGCTTGGCTCTATGAACAATGTTAACAATAAAACCGAAAGATAGTTTTAATAAAACTGTGTTGAATTAATTTTTCAATTCATTAATCGATCATATATGTGCATTATAGGAAAATAATTTATGTTACTGTGAAATTTCTGTAAAGTTTATTTTTTGAATAACAAAATTAATTTAAACAGATAACACAGAGATGGGAAGGGGTTGAAATATATTAGATGTGAAGCTTTTGCGGTGGCTGAATGCAATCTGATGAAGTTCATTCTATACCGAAATGAGTGATTGCCCATCAAGATTTCACTGGACTAAGAAATACTTTATACAATTTAAAATTTATTGTACTAACAATTTATAATTTGCATAAAAACAACTTGTGTCTTTATCACCTGCACACATTACGAGACCCAACAAATAATGCTATTGTGCCGTAATGTTACAAGTCTTACATGTAAGTTATCCAACTGCTTCTGCAATTGCTGTACTAGCTGCTGCTCCTGGATCAACGAGTCTTGACCTATCCGGACCAAACTTCTTAGTTTCACTATTTCCTTCATCAGATCCTGATTCTTTTCTTGTTCAGTCTTTAATTCTAAAGCGAGGCAGTCCTTTTCCTGTGGAACAATAGTTAATACTGGCTGCAATATCACAACAAAAAACAATGCATAGAAAATTCTGTAATAATTAAAAAAAGGTTGTTAAGAATAAAGAATATCAAGTGTGAAGAGCAACACAGTATAGAGGGTTTAAAAAGAAGAATTTTTCAGCTAAGAATTAGCAGTAAAGTGAGTTCTTGTTTTCAGTTTTAATTATGATAACCACAACTTTCTATATAAATAGTATTTTGCTTGTGCCCTTTTCTGAAACATTTATTAAAGAAACTCTTTATTAAAGAAAGAAAATGGTGCTGTTGCTAATATGGTCTCATATGGGGCCTCCTCAAATGAACTCTGTAGAAGGCTTTAGGGCTCACCAGTGTATAAACTGAAGTGGCTGACCACTATAAAAATTTAGTATTTTCATAAGATATGAGATAAAGATATCACACACCTTTCCTTCATGCTGCTGCTCTCGGTTTGAATTCACTTGGTCCTGCAGCTGATCACAACGGTTTTGAATTTCTTCATATTTATGGACAAGTTCTCTTTTCTCTGCCTCTTCAGTCTGCAGATTCTCTTGCAAGTCTTGCAACTTTGATTGCATCTGAAACAAAAAGACTCTTCTCTTCCAGGTAACAGCCACACAGAGTTAATACACACAGTTCAATGCAGAACAGATGAATCAGAAACAACGACTGACATAATCAGATATGATTAAAGAGGAAAAGCTTATAAAAACATGTATCTACATGTGAGATATTACATTCTCAGTGATGGCTATGAAGAATACTGCCTTCTGGAAAGTGACAATGTGCAGTTTGGTATACAGGTACAAACACTCTGGAGGAGCCTGCTACATCAAATTTTAGGATACCTGAACACAAGGGAAGCAGGTTCCTCAGAAATATTGGTACTATCTATAAACTAGGTCACATCACATATCAAAAGAGAGCAATTTTTTCAGGGAATCACTTGCATGTGTGTTACATAACCAAATACATTTTTTGCAACACGCAAAAAAAAAATTCTTCTCCTAAGACAAGTCATTTTTAGGTAAGAGACACTTCAATGCAGAACTGATGTGTCCCCCTTTCAAGAAAGAACAAAATAAGTCTTATACTCACATACATAAACTCAAAAACTGTAATGAATTTTCTGTTTAGTTATTCAGTTGCTATGGTGCAAAACTGGTCTGTTGTACTGTTGCACATATACTTGTAAAGGTAAAGTTGTCTCTGTGCTTAATCAAGCAGGGGAGTAAGGTAAGCTCCATACATTTTTAATTTTGTCATAAGATGAAAGTAAATGGTGACCTTCATGCCCTGACCATTGTACCTACCATGGAAAATGACCTTGCTGTCCATGGATAGGATGGAACTTTACATTACTTCAGATTCTTAAAATGGAAGCTCTAATAATTTAGGCAGTTCTGTCTCACAGAAAATACACTCTGATTCAGTTACTTCCATTGAGCACATACAATGCCAGTACATAAATCTGGTACAGTGGATGCTGATAAGAAAACCGCATCACACAAGCACTGACACTGACTGTTCATGCTTAAGGTTATTTTTTGGAAAAATGATAAAGTAACAGAATAATATAATTGCACTGAAATTTCTGCAGTGCCAGCATCTATGTTTTGTTTACTTTACAACACTTCTTATTTAACATTTTTATCGCAATTCTGGAGAAATTTACAATTTCAGATTCAGGACACAGTTTTAATTAAATGCTATCATTTAATTCAGGCTGTGAGCTCTTATGGGAAAGATTTAAACCTGGTACAATAAAGGTTAAGGATGATGTCCCTTAATTTTCACAGTATGATGTACTCACTGACACTGTTTTTGACAAAAGGTTCAAATTGTGATGCACAGGTATAACTGACTTGTATCTATGTAATTTATAATCTTATTACTTACGAGTATTAGTCATGTACTCATCGACATTGTTTCTGTTAACAGCTCAAATTGTGATGCATGGGTACATTTGGCTTATATTTATGTGGCTTGTAATCTTACTGGTTTTTCAATTGGACTGTTATTGTACAGATTACAATGTTGTATTTGACTTGTTCCATATCCTATGGTGTCTCCCTGTATATGGATTTATGGAACGTAAATAAATTGAACAACCGAACACTCTCCATGGAGCAATTTCTTCCTTGACAGCCCGACAGTTACTCAGTTGGTCCAGAAATTTGCTGCTTTTTATGGAACCTGAAGATTCACTACCCTAAGAGCTCACCTCTACACTATATCTTGAGTCAGCTGAATCCAGTCCCTGCCCCCATGATCTACTTATTTATTTATATTTTCTTGTAGTTTATTTAATGATGTGGTCAGTAATTCATGCAACATAGTAGCAAATGATTGGATGACTGTGAATAATGACTTGGAAAGGAAGTGGTCTTGGCGTAAGTTCAGGCACTATCAAAAAATTTGTTTGGAAAGTCACAGGGAAACACTGGCACAGCAGGGTGCTACTGTTATAATGTCTGCTGCAGTCAGGATGAAATATGTGATCAACAGCTGTAGGCAGTAAATCAAATACTGACAAGAAACAGCTGGATGTCAACTAGTTCAACTACAAGATCCAATAAATGAAGGCTGGAGACAAAACGAGGATACAGGCGATAACTAAGATGACCTTCACCAACACAAAATCAATGTTAATTGAACATCACAATCCAAATGCAGTACATTTATCATGACATGTTTGTCACTGGTTCTAATTAATTGCAGACTATAATTAAGTGATCTCTGTCTCAGCTACGGAAATTACTAAAGACTTTTCTACAGTAAGCTTACAGAAACATATGCACCAGGGACATCAGCAAGGTTTCATGCAATAAGAAATAAAACTGTGTCAATTCATGCAACAATAAATCATAAATATAATAAACACAAATGTGTATGCGATATTATCTTGAATATCATATGTTAATCCTAACAATGACTTCAGGTGACCAGAATTATAAGAAATATTAAACCTTCATGATTTCAACTCATTCTCACTGATTTCTTACAATATGGGTGAGGATGGCTTCTCACTGTGGCAGCGTGAGATTGATCCAAAGTCAGGTTCAGGTTATGTGGGATGTGTTGTGGACAAAGTGAAAATGGGGTGGGTTCTCTCTGAGTATTTCGGCTTCCACCACCAGTTGCAAGAGAACAAGAGAGCTCTGCTGGCTGTCTGCTACATGCTTTTTTCTTGCTTAGCTTACTTTTCAGCTATGAAGATGGAGGTGACATGTTTCTCTGAAACATCAGTTGACTTTCATCGGCCTATATAACATTATATCCCAGAAGACAGAACTCTTCAAAATCATTATGAAAACCTCAAATTCTTTATAATTTTTTTCCCACATGCATACTGTGAAAATGCGGGTCAAATAAAACATGATAAAAACTCTGCATTTATTCATGTTTTAGCATTAATGTAATGCAATCAGTGACTGAAGAAGACCGAAAATTAAACTCTGACAGTGACAATCACAGGTGACTGATTTTACTGACTGGCTCACCACATCAGAATTCTACTACACATTACAGACAGAAACCATAATCTCATGAATTTGTTTAATAAGCTGAAATCCTACATATTCATCCCATTTTCCTTATTTAACTTTGTGATGTGGCCACCTGACATGGGAAGAAATACATCAGACTTCAACTGCAAATAACCAATCATGTGTACTGTAATTTGTATGAGCTCGTAATGCACCAAAGCCCATGTGTGACACAATGAAGAATGGGGCATAGCAAGATGAGGGAGGATAATACTGCGAGAAAAACACACTACCATACCTCACTCATGATGCATGGAAGAGATTTTTGAATACGGCTAAAGGCAAACTCCACTCCACATACCTCTGAAGCATCCTGCATGAGACAGAGAGAGAGAGAGAGCTACCATGTGTCCGAACTGTACCAAAATAACAATTTACTGTAACAAGTTACCCCATGCTTTAGAAACTAGAAAAGAACATACCATAAAAAATAGATTTTTGGCAATACAAAAAAACTCCCCATTATCTAGCATGCATGGAAATATAGTGTGTCAGTTACATGTATCTGCAGATGCACGAGCAAAGCTGTTATAGAAACCCAATACAAAGTTAAAATAACATGTTCTAACTTCAGTCTCTGCATGGGAGTATTCCTAAGTGACACAGTGGATTGACCAGTGACAGATCTGGGAGACATATAATATAATGTGATCACAAATTCAACTACCTTCTATTTAATAGCACCTGTAACAGTGAGGACAACAGGTAGTGCTGCTAGTGGCAGCTGGGAGAACTAATATGTGGTGGGTGAACATATGTGAATTGAAAATACGTTTTCGAGCAACTTTTTAAAAATAAAAAATTTTCTCTGAAATTTATGCCAGATGGATGAAAATTCAAGATACTTGGATACTGGATAATCAGAAGTTTACTGTGAGTGACCAAGATATTTTGTTTTCATTGAACGTTCTTAACTTCATCAAATTCTTTACCAGTATTGTGGTAATAGGATTACAGTAAACTTGGTTATAGCAACATCGGTTTCTGCGACACCTTGTCTATTGCGTCAAATATTCAATGGTACGAACTAATTCCTCATAAAGCAACTGTTTTTATACCTTGCTTAGTACGACATGTACAAATGCATCAACCTCGTATGTAACGTCATTTTCATTCCTGAATTTCTCTGATATCGTGGGAAAGTTCGATGTGTCTGCCCACCCTCACTTTCTCTACTTGCTGACGTGACTCTCCTGGAAGAATATGACCGCGGGCACAAGAGGAGCGTGGGTTTTATGCGAAAACAAGGGTGTGGGGTGGGACTGCGTGAATAGTGCAAGAGGACGCGGCAGGTTGTTAACTGCATTCCTTTCCTAGAATCTCGTCTAACAGGACCTCACATTGTCTACTTACCCTATAGTGTTCCTGCCTAAACCCAGAGAAGTGCAGTAGCGAAAACATGGCAATGAAAAGGAAAGTTTTAAGCATTGAAGAGAAAGTTAAAGTGATTCGTGAAATAGAAACTGGAAGGAAAAAAGCTGATGTATGCCGCGAATTTGGTTTGGTGAATTCTACAGTACAAACAATATGGAGAATCCATATTAATTCCACGTTAATGTTACGTTACTCTGTACTTAACTACGTATTTCACTAAAAAATGCAACATTTTAACTCGGTTTTTGGTAGATTTTTACGTGACTAACATAAGTCTACTGTGGAAGTGCCCATTTCGGTTACAACGACATTCGTTTATAACGACACTATTTTTAGGTCCCTTTGATGACGTTATAACCAAGTTCTACTGTATTTCCATTTTTTAAAATTGAAATATATTCATAAATTAATTAATAAAGTAAATGATATGATTAGATAGCAAGCTAAATAGAGGCTTAATTCCATATTATGAAAGCCATATACTATGCGTCATGGAAACTTTGCCTTCTATCATGGAATGACATGAACTCTATGCAACTGCAGTGTTTGTTTTGTAGCTCACTCCTGTGCTTAGATTCAGCAAACACTCAACCAACAACAGAGAAGGCAATTCTCTTTTCTTTGACATGAACCTCTGTGCACACATCATCTTCATATAAGGGATGCCTAAAATTTTGGATTTATTAGGCTTTCATCCATTATGGTGTAATGTGCACATTTGTGTTTAAGTGGCTATCATGTTATTGTGAAAAATTACTATAATAATGAACCAGCTTCGTACTAAATGTTGATTGTACTACAAGAAGTGCTCCTGGCTATCATATTAGTATTGTTACAGGTAAAAAATAAAAAGAAAAAAAAAAGGCAGCAGGCTCAGTTCCAATACATGTAATGCACACTAAAAATAAAACGACAAAATTAAAAAGAAATGCTTCAGGACTATAAGAACAGGACATACTGTACATGTGAGTACACAAGTTCATTCATTCATTCATTCATTATTAGAGGGTGTGGGTTTCCCCATGCACTTAGACCAGTTATTGGTCCATTGTGCGTCCCCCTTTAATTTCTACTGTCACCATACCTTCCAGTACTGGTGCTTGCTATCAGCGCCATTCTGCCAGCGAGGTTGGCCCTCTTCTGGCAGTGGTACCAGATACTTCCCCATCTACCGGAGGCATTGGAAACTACTTGGGCAGGAAACTTTGCCTGATTTTGCTCAGAGGTCTCCTAGAGACATGAGGATCTTTTACGTGCCGTATCTCTACGACATGGGACCCATGGCTTAAAGTTCCTCCTGGAGGACTTGTTCCCTGAATTTTTCCGCCCTTAAAAATTCCACGACCTCTGCCGGGTTTGAACTCGCGTACCTTGAGTCATGAGGTCGGAATGTTACCCCAAGACTATGGAGGCCGCTTGAGTACACAAGTTACTTGCTCTTTAAGTAGTAATGACCTGACAAATGACATCCTAAAAATAACTCCTACAAATAACTTTTTAACCATAGGATAAGAACTGAGAGGTGGCAGATGTTTCTGCCACACAACAGGAAGTCTCTCTATGCAAGTGTAACATGCATTCACTTACTACCATAACTACATAGCAATAGTAAATCAGCCTTCCACTATTAGGCAAATAAACTGTTACCTGAGGCTGCATAAATAAAGAACACTGTGTACTTCTGCATAGTTATCAAAAACTGTCACATTTATTGTATTTAAATATTTCAGTAACACAAATTAAATTTTTGTTACTCAGACTTGGAAAAGATAAAACGTTAAGTTACGGTTCAGTACTTTAAAAGCAGTTTCATTATCTCACACCACTATCAAGTACACAAAAGAATACAGGTATATAAAGGTGAAGAGAACAGAAATACCACCCACATTGTCAGTACCATGGCACATGCTTTTCAAAATGGTCTCCAATATAAAATATATTACAAAACTCATCAACAAAAAATTACAATAAAAAGATTAATGATAAAGATGGGAAACATCTAAAATACAAACGTCATTTTGAGAACCATATGCATCTGAGGGCCAGTGTAATAGCCTTGTAGATGTACAGATGTATTTACTGCCTGGGTTATGACACCATGCTGTGGCAGGCCAGTTTTGCTACATTCTAGAAATATTGCAGTTTTCATCTCCAGCAGTACACCCATGCATACTCTGTATATGTGTTTACCATCTCAGACAAGCCAAATTTCACACACATATCCATAGAGCTACAGCAGTTATCTCCAAGATACAGAAGAGCAAATACATGCTTTGTGCTGCCACAACATTACTTTTAATTTTTAAACAACAATAATATCCATAAAATCCATACCATCTTAAATTACTATAAATAAATCAGAATTGTGAACTGAGATCTGAACAGTATCCATACGCTACATTATCCACTTCCACAGGCCAGAAAACATTGTCAAAAGAAAGAGTAAGTACATCAGAAACTGAATCAAGCATGTCAATTACATTCTTACCTCTTCTGTTCTCTGGAGCTGTTCTAATGACTGCTGCAGTTGGTTATTCTCCTCCTTAATTGTTTCCAACTCAGCTTCCTTGATCTGCAGCTGCTGGCGCCATCTTCCTTCTTCCTTTTCAACACGGTTCTGGAGTTGGTTCAACAGTGCTTCCTGCAAAAACAGAGACAAGAAAACAGAAATAGAAAAGTGTCATAAATGGAATGACAAAATAATAACTATAGTACAGCTTGAATAATCTTCAGATAAAAGGTTCATTACTTACACCCGTTTTCTCTGAACTGTCATTTCATCAACACCAAAACACATATATGACATGTCAATTTGCATTATTTACTTGTTAAAAGAGATATATTTTAAATTTTGAGATTATTCCACTCTGTCATCTGCATGGTAAGAAAAGTAGATATAATTGTGATAATAAAGTTTAAATCATACTGGAGGTTATTTGAATTATTTTCTTGAGATATATTTTGGCTAGCAAATTAATAAATATTGTGACATGTTGACCCCATACAGAATTATATTCTTGCAAATATGATTCCAGTACTTTACACTTCACTAACTATGATATTTTCAAACCACAATCTCTCCTGAAACACAATGCTCTTCCCGTAAATAGCCAACAGCAAACATAAACAAGGATACATCTCTGCATTTGCTACCACGAGAAGAAACAGAACTACCAGTTACCAATATGCACTACCTCAACATACCGTATCTTCAATAATAGTTTTGTAGTGTGTAACCATGGCTTGCAGCTGAGAGTTTTGCTTTTCTAGTTCTATCAGCATGGATGCATGATCTTCGGGCACGGAGCCTGCTGCATTCTGTGCCTTCTGTTCAGAGATGAAGCTCTTGACTGAGCTTTCAAACCTCTCCACCCACACATCATATGCCTAAAATTACAAGAACTGGTCAAACAAACTTTCTTGACATTTACCTTTATAAAAATATGAATTCAGGTTTACAAATTCCATTCTCAGTGAGGTCTGACCCAAGGAAGTGAGTTTTTTTCTTCATATTTTTACTATTTAAACATAATGAAATTGAATCCATGAGAAATATGAGGCTCTCATAGTAGTGGCTATGTGAGCATTGTTTTGTACGATGTGATGCCACGCAGCATGGGTATTCTTCACTGATTATAAAGCAGCATGTTGCTCCAAATTGTTGGTAACAATCAACCAGACAACAACGTGTCACATCCCAGAAGACAGTAAACTTCAATTAGTCCACAATACAATACATAATCACAATTAACAAAAATTTCATACACATTGCAACAGCAGCATTTCTGTTTCCTCCACACTGCCATGGCTACAGTAACAAATGAATACCACATTAATTTACACCTTCCATACATAGAAATTCCAATGGTGCACAACTTCAAATATGTACACCACATAACTGAAGACTGCAGAATGTGTGGATATAATAAGACCAAAGCAACTGTATATGAAGACTTAACTACCAAATGCATATGTACATGTTTACAGCTCTCTACCCATTACTATCTGGATGTAAATGTATGGGCATGATCAATAAAAAGTTATATAAATTTCATAAAACAAATCAGCATGTACAAACAGCAGTTTTCAAATTATTCTAACCACACTTTAAATAAAAAAATAAATAATAATAATTTGAGTCACATTTTACTCACTTCAGTAACTATAATTCACAAAATAACATATCTGTAACAGTTCAGGTACTCAACCCCTTATATGGGAAGCCCAGGACCAGAGTCACAGCAGTTTTCTGATTCTAGGCCAGTTGTCACATGTCACAGTGACTAAAGATGGGGTTCAGATTGGTAACTTGATTTACTGGATACTTACAGGTTGTAACTACAAATAATTATAACACTGTTACTGACTTTCACACTACAAAGCACTCCATGTTACTCTCTTCAGTCTATCTCCATTAGTCATCACAGATTTATAACATAGGAACTATAGAAGTCTCAGCAAATCATACACTCCCAATATCACTGTACTACAGCACACAAAGTCTTCAAATCATATATTAAATCTTCACAGGCTCACTTCTTGTACTCTTTGGCACTCCCTGAGCTTACCGCTTGCTTGTTGTACTCTTCCAGCTTCCTGCTATCTTCTTGTCTGTGTGCTTCTGCTGCTAGAGCTCCAGCTTAGGAATTGTGCTCATTTATATAGCCAAGTAGTTCAACCTCTGCACTTAATCATTTTTTAATTGCTTCTTAGCCCTTCCATTAGCCACTGGACTTCCTACTGGCATCTCAGTCACAACTTGTAACCTCTATATCTTGTGCACATAAATCAGTTATGGGAAACACTCACTAAAATGGCCAAGGAACTATGGTTTTGAGATAAATTAGAGACTTGAAGAACTTACTTGTCTTGAGGATCTAAATGAACTTACAGTACAACTTCTGAAGCACGTATTAAATTGAAATATGCCTTCAGAAAAGTTGAACTAAACGAGACAAACTTTCAAAACATTAAAAATTCTTTACAATGATGTGCAATTTTTGAGAAAATTCTTAAGACAGGCTAAAAATTAAAAACAAAGCACCAGGTACTAAGAATTGCAGCACCTTACATTCAGCTACTTAGCAACCAATTTTGATGAAGCGCAGTATGCAACTAGAATGCATGATAAATGATGTGAGATCACTGCTGCCAATGAAACTAATATGCTACTTACTGCATAACAGATGTAGCATAAACTATGGTTTTATAAGATGTAATTTTCTCTTTTCACAACAAGTATATAATACATGATGACAAAATATTTCTATTTTACCTCATTATCTTCTATCCTAATATCAGGGAATATCCTCTGCAGAATCTCTTTAGTGGCTGTTTGTTCTTCTGTTCTAACTGTTTTACTAATTTCCTGTAAATTAGATTAAAATAATGAGACTCAACAGAACACTGAAACTTTAACACAAACAAAATATATCACATATGTCACTGTTATTCTTTAACACCCTAAGAATGTGCATATTCACGTTTTCATTACAAAGATCTTTCAAATGATGTGACCTTGTAACTGGATAAACTGAATACTGAAACTTCATATGGCCAGGTTTCCGGGATAGCACGAGTTCTTTAATCACCTGTGACAGCATTTCATAACAGAAGAAGTGCGTTTGTTGAGCTACTGAAACTTACATTCTTGCAAGAATCAGTAACTATTTTTTCTGCATATGTAACTGCTTTACTATGTCCAGTGAGATGGACAAAGTGTTCTGAAGGCTCCCAGAACCATCATACAGTAAAATTTGGTCATGAGTCCTGTGGGACTGTGCTGGCAAGGGCCACCAGCAATTTAGCAGTTAGTTATATGGAGTTACTTTTGTTCACAAATGCACAAAAAACCCCAGAAAACTAAAATTCTCCCATACTTGTTCCAAGGATTTAGGTTATAATAACTGAGTTTCAGAGTCTTGCTTCATTATTTGTCATGCAAGTTAGACATAGGCTAGCAAAATACCATGCACTACAATAAAGCATAACACAGAAGAGAATAATAAATGACCAACATTAGCTTCATTTCATTTGACAAGGAGCTTGTATTTATGTAACAGAGGTCTGGAAAATACAGTTTTGAAATTGTGTGCAATAAGTTCTACAGCTTCATCTTCATTAATGAAAATCAGGTAACTTTCACAAAGTTACTGACAAATTGTGTACCTTTCAAAAACTGAATTAATTTATAAAAGCCAGTATCACAACTGTTCATTTAAACTCGTTAATCTTAAATGTCTCCATACACACACCCACCATTTACTGATATTGGTTCCTTGTCTTCTCCCTTGATTCCCACACTTTGGGGCAGTTACACTACTTCAATCATTAACAAAAACCACACTGCATTTCAATAATTTACATTCAAAACTACACGTCACCTCCTATTTCCAACTGCTTGTTTCTAGGGCTACCAAATTATTCTTCTAATAAAATCTAACTAAGTAGGCTCATAGCCTGAATGAAACACATGCCATCCTAAGGAGACACACATATATAATAAGAATTACAAGATACATTAGTTTCATTGATGTGTGACATGTGCACATAGGCGCACGCACGCACGCACACACACACACACAGAGGCAAATAATGGCTCCCAATGTAAAGGTTCCCAATACTTACTCCATGCAATAAAACATTAGTACAAATTTTATAACTATATAAAAATAAAAAAAGTAGTAATAATATTTCCTGGGCTGTAACCTGGCACACAGGTGCAAGAAATATTAAGTTACTAGCAAAAGCAATATACAGAACAATGAAGATGGCCAACAACAAACAGCTGAAGGAGCTCTGAGATAAAGACATTCAGGAAAGCAATGTTTAAATAATAAATAAGTGAATATAGCAGAGAGCAAGGTAAGAAAACCAACACATGGAAATGAACTATGAATAATGTGAGTGATAAAGAAAGAAATTAAATGTAAGGGATAATTAAGAAACTTTACAAAAGCAGAAGTCTGATTTCTGAGTATGATGAAAGTAACTTTATCTGTGATGTGACGAAAGCACACATAAAACAGATTTTGGGTATAAGAAAGACAAAAGTTAAAAGGCCCTATGCAAACCCTGGCAGAACACAATGTACACCATGATATTAAATTACATTCAAAAGTAGACTGTTCACTGCAGTTACTCTTGAATGACTTCACAGGAGGAATTGGAGTGATGAAAGTTATGGCAACTGATGAAAAGACTGAGGATTTTATGAGGGTGAAACATGCAGAAAACAGTGATATTACATAGCTAGACAATGAATGAATAAGAACTGTGCATATTTTAATGTAAAAATATGAACAGCTATATATGAAGCAAATGAGTTTAAGGCAATAATGAACTGGGCTGGTCACATTACTAATTGGCACCCAGACCCTCCCTGATCAGGAACAGTGACTGTGAAGCTGACCATTCCCCCATACAGAATCATGACACATGGTTCTTAAACATAAGGGCAATTTTACCTTTTTATCTTTCACCCTCACTTCCTTATGAGACATCCTGAACCATTATACATCTTAAGATGTAAATAAGTAACAGGAATTCATCAAGTGTAACTAAATTAATAAGAGCAAGTAAAAGTTTTGCTTACATATTTTGGCCATATGCCTTCTGATGAAGGCCAATAATGGCTGAAACATATAAAGGCAAAACTTGTATTTCCTCTTATTAAATTTGTTACACTTTATGGACTTATTTACCCTCATTATTTATTAATTTCATTAAACTACTTATTAAATCCACTTTCTCAATATTGGTCCTTGGTGACCAACATAAAATTATTAGGTGTAAATGATTAATAGTTACTAAAGGATTCTGACGATGGTGTACAACACACAGAGATATTGGGTTTTTGGACTTTATCCATCGTCCTGGTTTTAAGATAACTAAGAAAAACATGACATTTTGGAAACTGGATCTGTTTCCGTCCTCAGGTGAGGGAAAACACCTATTCTGTTGGGTCCCTTAGAAAGAGCTAAGTGACCAGGACGATGGATAAAATCCGAAAACCCAATATCTCTGTGTAAATGATTTGTTGCAACAATATAGATCATGTAATATATATATAACACCATACAATTCAATAACAGTTTACACATCATTACTGATTTGCACATTTAGTTCAAACCTACTGATCAGAGTTTGAAGGTGTGTGTGTGTGCGTGTGCCACCATGTGGGGGTGGGTGTGTGCGTGCATGTATGCACATGCACACACACACACACACACACACACACGCGCACAGACTTTAAAAAGTTTTTCCTTTTTATTGTTATAAAACGTTGTGCCCCTCAGTAATAAAAGAAAATTTTTGAGCATATTTCTTCAGAATACCAGTATGTGTTTTTATTCAGTGTACTTCTTAACAGTTCTCACATTAGACTACTTAAAACAGGATGATAATTTTTAATAATTTTCATGTGTTGCAGCTTCAGAAATCATTATTTTGAGGTGCAGGCAGGGATGCTGAGGCGCTTTTCATTCTCACCGGCAGAGCAAACACAAGCTGTTTTGCATATTGTGTTACATGACCAATATGATCGCTCTGATATGAGAAATGACTTGGCATTAATGAAACTGAAGCATCCCCTTCGATTTAACCGTTGGGTGCGTCCTGTGTGTCTACCACCGACAGGTTGGGGTCCACATGCTGGTACAATTTGCACTGCTGTTGGCTGGGGTGCCANTACCTTCATGAATGATGGCCATTTACTCCCAGTCTTGAAAGTACAGTATGTGCCAAAATTTGCAGTACTGAAACTCGTGCATCTTGAACGTGCATGCGTGTTTGTCGATGGGGCATAGTTCCAGCCGCACGTGTTCCCAGTAATGAAAAGGAAGTTACGTTGTACAGTTGTTGTTGGAAACGGGTCTCTCGACGGAGGAAAAAGTATTCATAGTTGAGTACTATTTTCGCTCATACGGAAGTGGTCGCCAGAAAACTGCCTTCCTTGGTTGTGAGTGGCCAGATGTTATCGTCAAGAACCCGCTACATAGTACACGTGTGATGATATGGTGCCCTATTTCATTGAGGATGAGGAAGGCAATGCTCTTACCATCACCCGAGAACGCTACAGGGACGTGGTGATCGATCATTTCTTCAGGATTTGAGAAGGTTCTGTCATGCAAGGGGCCTTCACATGAATAGACAGTGGTACCAACAGGATGTCTTTTCATTTCAGT